AAAAGTGGCCCAAAGCCCCCACTCCTACTCACAGACCATTGGTCAAATCCCTGCGCAAATTGCGGAACACTGTGGTCACATCCACATGATTGTACTGACCGTCGCGCTCATCGATCAGCTTCGCCTCAGCAATCAAGGTAGGAGTGGGGGATAAGAAAATTAACTGGAGGTAATGAAAAAGGAATGATGGGATAAATCAATGATAGATCAACACATCATGTATCACCACTTCAATGTTCATATTACTCTATGATTGTTTTTGTTTCCGAGATTCTCATAGCATAGCCTTTTTGAAAAAGCGTTCCCAAAACAAAAAATAATCCAAAACAATATTTGTAAAAGGATCAGGCTACAATTCCAGAAATCGGTAGGATCAGATCTTTCGCTTCGTATCCCTTGGCACTGAGGTAGCACACCTGCCAAGATGAAAAAACACGAGGTTGTATATGTTCAAGCGTATCCAACAAGCTTTTGTAATCAAATACTCACATCTATGTGTACGTGTTAAAACCAGGCCTGGGTCCATCCAGACTTCGTAAAACCAGTTGGAACTTTGAGGGCGATGGCATTCCGGGACCAGTATGGGACAATGGTAGAGGTCTCGAACACAGGGATGTTAGGCCTCTTGTGCACACGACCCTCACCCTTGTCCCCATCCTTTTCAACCTTGTCCTTTCCCTTCCCACCATGGCTGTTGGGCCCCCCCTTTGCAGATTTCTTGGGTGCTGGCTTCTCTTTGGGGGCACTGCGTTTCTTGGGTGCTGCCTTGGGTGCCGACCCAGCAGATTCAACCCGAGGCTTGCGACCCCGACGTTTGGGAACCTCCTCAGGTCTGGAAGGCTTGGCCTTGGCATCTGCTTCGGGGCGGGACCCTGAGGCTGCCCCTCCGGGATTGGAAATTGGTTTCTCTTCATCATCACTATCCTCCCAAAGTTCAGGTTCCTTGCTAAGGGAAAAATCTTCTGATGGGTCAACATTCTCCAACGGCAACTTGCGACATTCACGAGGCTTGGATGCCTTTGACTTGGCAGCTTTGGCACCCCTACCTCGGCCCTTCCCTTCACCTTTGTTGCGTCCCCTGCCCCTTCCTGGAGCTGCATCAACATCTTTCTTATCTTTCTTTGGCCTTCGGCCCTTCCCCGGGACTTTACCCAAAGCCATGTCTTGCTGAACACGGGTCAAAAGTCCATCCAAGATGTGATGCTCCTTGGGTGGGGTTTCTGCCACTTCCCCCTTGTCCCCTTCAGGTTCCACAGCCTCCCCAGGAACTGAGTCCATGTTTTCCTCAGGCAACCCCATGGGCGATTCAGGAACAACCTCAGCTGCCTTGGTATCAGGGGTGATCGGATCCTCTTGCGTGGGTGGAACTTCATTGTCCTCATCATCCTCAGTAGGTGAAGGCGCAGGCGACTCAATCTGGAAGTCCAAAACGTCTTGTGAGTCCTGGAATCTGGAAGGCTCAACCAGATGGGAGGTCAACCAAATTTCCATCAGGGAAAACAAACCCCAAAAAAAACAACTATATAAATGGAATCACATCTAGGTGTGTTAAATCAAACGCAAATTCTTTGCAACAACATCTGTAAATATTCCATCAAACACCCATCACTTACAACAAAGCCAGTCCTGAATCACGACGGCAGCAGAGGCTAGTTCCACCTCCCCAGAGGCCAAAATTGAACCATAGGATAAATGCAAAAACCAAAAACAGTGAAAATGCTTGAACAGATATTTCTTTGATCATTTCCCAAATCCACAGTTCGAAACACATGACCCATCAATGGGGCACCTGGTGAACAGCTGGTACAGAAGGTCTTCCATCCAATCGCTGCCTAGATGCCAATTTGTCTACAAAACTAGTAGCAGATGGTACAACAAATACAGAAATGGTTAGGTTGCATCTAAAGTGCTGTAACTCCAGAATTCGGGCATCCAAAGCTGACAAGGGAGGTGGCGACGGGGATGGGGATGGCATGGCAAGGTTGAAGTCACCAGGCAAATCAGCTGGAAGGGTGTCAACAGCAGATGGGTCAACAACCTCACCAGGCACAGGTTCCGAATCCACAGCCATCAGGTCCTCGAATGCCTGCGTTCCCAAAGAATTCTCCTGGCCGAGGCATGCTATAAAAAATATATAACTTTTCTGGGAGGTTAATTCCATAGGTTATGCTTATATATTTTTTGCTAAGTGAGGACCATTAGTCCTGGGAATCCTCAGGGATGGAATCTTCAGGTGCTGCTGGAACATCATGGAGGGCTGGCAAGACCATGTGAGGAGGTGGCTGCTGAGGAGAGTCCAAGTACCAAGCACGAATGTAGATCATAAAGAGGTGCTGAATCTCCCGGGACTTAGGGTACAAAAGTATTCAAGAAAAAAAACTATACATGCAATGGACATCTGGCACATACTAGCTTGAACAGCCACATGCAACTAGGTTGCCCTGGGCTGCCTATCTTGGCGAAAGTTACGCAGGGCATGGCTGGTGAGTTTACGAATCCCCCAGGCATCTGCGTAAAGCTGCGTTTTCGAAGGCGCTTCATGGCCCTCCACCTTCATGAGCTCCCAGAACTTCTTCACCTTGGGGATCCCGACTCTAAGAATACACAACTCTTGTCAGAATTCATTTGATATTTCCCCACCATATCATACATCAAATATATATAATATGAATGATATGTTAAAGATTTAGATATGATATGATGTGGTATTTTTACATTTTTGCAATGCCCAGTGGCCTCAGTGGAAATCATTCCCAGCGGTGGTGTTCTAGGGACATTTCCGGCAGCTTCGAAATCAAACACCGAGACCCAAATCTCAGCTGTACAGCAGAGAACTTCTGCGTTCAGCTGCATGGCATTCCTTTGGCTGGTTTAGATTGAAAGCAAGGCCAAAAGAAATGACAATGGGGAACTATAGCTATATATATTGGGGTATTTTGGATTTGATATATATAATAAATTTCGATCGATTGTGTTATTTTGTTTGGTATGGGATACTATATATGGGATATGTTGGATATGGGATACTGGTAATTCAAAGATCAATATATATTATATAATATTATCCAGATACTACCCCTTATTTGCAAACAAGACTCATAGAAGGAACTCCAACTGTTTTCGGACAGGGCCATTCCAACAAAGAATTGGTTCCCCTAGCCTTCTGCCTTATGAGTAGGCAGCTCTCCCACCTCTCAGCCAAACCGGTCAAACCGACCTCCATTGAGGCATCATGCTCTTGGTTCGCTGGCACAAGCTCCATTGGCTTTGGAAGCTCGGTCAAACTTGAGGCACAAATGGGCTCTATAAGCTACTCAAGTTGGAAAATTTGATTCATGTTGGCATTTGTATGCACCACACTACATGTTGGAATGATTCTGACGAAAAAAACGTTGGTTCAGCCCCCTGCCATCAGTAGACTCCACAGCTCAAAGGATGCCCATGGGACACCTGTGCAGGAATGATCTTGGTCAATTGAGAAAAACATGTTTTCAAAGGCCTGTCAAAGTTTACGTCCGGTTTTGATGGGGTAATTGTTCAATTTAATTTTCTTAGGGTGAAACTATCCCAAAAACTTTCGATGAAGACTGTGACTGTCATTTTTCAGAGCAAAGGCCATGTTTTTTTGACCTTGAAATGTTCCAAATGTCTTCAGGTCAGAAATTTAATTTGGCATCCTAAGTGCGTTGAGATTGCAACGCTCATTCCCAAGTCGATCTACCGGTGCACCCTTTGCCAACCACTAAGGATGGTTTGGCTCACCCAAGCTGCTGCTGCTGGAGCACTCCTTGGCTAGTGGTGGAAAAAATGGTTTCGATGGGGTTGGTGCAGTAGAAGGTCCCAATCCACCAATCCAGCGCAAAGCCAAGGTTCACCCAATTCTTGTCCTGACAGGGGCTAAGGGGAAATGAATACAAGTATGGTATCAAACATTACTTTAATTTTTTTCCCCCTGGTGGGTGTCAACTATGTGAAAAGGTAAGCAAACCCAATCCTCGTTGAAAGCGCGAAATCATATGGGCAGCAAATCCCGAAGCATCATAGTTGCTCAGCAAGGTATCAAAGGTGACCCCGTCAACCGTCTTGTCCTTTGCTGGCAAAAGGGTTTATTTTCAATAGTTACAGAGGTCCTATTATATGGTATTGTGACCAAGCTACACGTTCGAAGCAACCCTGAAAATAACTATGTATTACATTGTATATAGATAAACAAAAATGATGTTTGATATCACAATAATTTCTCCTATTTTTTGGGGGTTTATATGATCGTTCGACAGCATAATGCCACTTGGTGACCTCCAAAGGAAAGAGGATGCATAGAATCTGGTGCCAAATGTCAGATGGAACATCGAGCAGCCCTGGCCCAGGCGAATGGTTGTAAAAATTTGGGTTACTGAGTGAATAACATCAAAGTTGGTTCATATAGGAACATGGTAGAGCTGGCCTCTTTTCTGGAGATGTACCCGGGCGCCAGCATCAGTACTGAGAAAAGCTTCCATGGCTAACGTAAAACAGATAGCTAGGCAAGCCCTAATTGCTTTTTGGAGCCAAAATATACTTGGTGAATGGGATCAAGCCAAGAGGCACAACCCAATAGCAAAATCAAAGCATCTCAGCGATTGAAGGGAGGCACCTCTTCCACCAAAGTGCAGCGCTCAGCACAAGAGCGATTTTGATCCCAAATGGGCTTGCATAAACCCCAAACATCCAATGTTATAAAGTTAAACTCCACTATATTATCATTCTGGGTCCTTAAATAAAAAAGGTCCTTTACATATATAAAAGGTCCTTTACATTTTTTTTGGTCCCGGCCCAAAATTTTAGGTACATTTGATCCTCAAGGTATATATATATATGTATGTATGTATGTATGTATGTATTCTGATATTCATATAATCATTCTGATAGTGTAGGAATGTGTAGGATATATAACTATTCAGTTTATTTATGAGGAGCTGACCACAACCCCGTCGTCGACACCTCAAACCTGGCCAGCTGGCGCGCACGGACGCTCCATTCGTCAGCACAGGTGCCAGGTGTCGCACCAGGCGTTGAATCCTGCGCGAACCGCATCAACCCGCCATGTGTTGGACGATTTTCAGGGGGAACAAAACATACAAAACCTCTCATTTTTGGGGGAGAATCCAAAAAATGAAGATTTAAGATGCTGAAGACATCTGAAGACTTGTGGCTTTTACAGCACAAAAGTGTGAAGTCAAAAAGTCGCCCTCCTTTGGACTTCGGTGGAACTGCCTTAGTTGCATCGCGGCAAACTGGCAAATTGCCATGAACATGTCTGAGAACAGAAGAATGCTGGTTCTGATTGCTTTTGAAATCTTTGGAACATAGTTTATTAACGAGAGAGGGAGAAGAAAAGAAAAACTGAAACATGTTGTTTCAATTGTTTCGAGGCAGAGCCATCCATGAAAGCAACGAGCCAATACCAAGTGCTGAATGATCCACAAGAATTAATCATGTCCCGGTTGCCGGCAGCGCGCAAACTCACTTCCATGGCTAAAATTTCTTAAAGTAGAGCAGAAAGTTTCTACTTGTTGTTGGCCGATCAAGCCGTGGCTTTTCCTGGAAATGTCACAGGATCGGGCTCAAAATAACATTCCAAGTTGGTGAACTTGAGCTGGGTAAGTTTCTAATGCTCACTGGTTGAAGTTGATCTGCTGAGGTTGTTGCTGTCTGTTCCTACAAATGACCACTCTGTTTACGGGCTCGAAGCCAACAGCTGCGTACGAGTCATCAAGTCACTCAAACTTTGGACATTTGGTGGGCGCTTCAGTCGTCTTGAGAAATCATCGACCGTCGCCTGGTTCCAGCTTCTGCATGCCATGCGCGTCGCGAAACCCGGGACTCACAGAGTTCTTCTGCCAATGGTCAGTGGGTTCGTTGAAGGGGAAATCTTGAGATGTTTTCACCATAAAATACCATGAGTATCCACTGGTGAGTGTGTGCGTTTCCATGTTTCCGATCGATTTTCTCTCCCTGTTTGAAGTACCATGAGGAGAAAAAAGGGGCTTCCGCTAGATTATTTTCTGGCCATCCCATGGAGAATACCCCTTGATTTGCATCATGTCTTGCACAGATTGGATGTCCAAATTGTCCAACACATCAAAGCAGGCTGATGACTCGATGACACAGAATTTGCTGGAGCATGCTGGAGCTGTTGAGTTCTTTGCGACAGAAAGGCTGGGTTTAGTGAAGCAATCATTGAGCATTTCCAGACATGGTCAGTTTCCAGGCATCCGGACGAACCGACCTGCCCAGCAGAGGGAGACTCGTGCAACTGTTGGATACTGCTGTCCAAAACGAACTTTCTTCCTGATTGAGACCTGGAGAAATTCACTTTTTAAAAAATCCAACCCCTTTGTGGAAGGAATCCCCCCCCATTCCTCCAAAAACATTCAGCCTGCCGCGGGCAGAGAGTGGTCGCCACAGATCCTCTTTGTTCAAAGGATGGTCCTGCGCGGGAGGTGTTTGCCTTGAACATCTTGAACTGGGGTCTTGAAGTGATTTGATGTTTGCCTGTTATGGACCCCTGTACCCTTCTGTTCACACCAGATGGTTATTTTGGCAATGGATGTGTTTATCTCAAAATATCGTGTTTTATGGATTTTTTAATGGTGATTTCATAGGTTCTAATCCCATAAACTTCCATGAGTTCCAACATCTTAACGTCGTACGCCAATCCCACAGGTCGTGTCACTCACTCACTCACTTTTGGGCATCCCGTCAGTCCCAGCAACGTAGCATCTGTGCTCCATTGGCTCCAGAGCCCGCCATCAGGAATGGCGGAATGGTGATCTTAATGGGATTTACCAATGAATGCTGATTTACCATCATCTTCATGGGATCTGAAAATGGGATCTTAATGGTGATCGAATGGTGATCTCCCTTCGATCTCTAAAGGTAAATCGATCATAGAAAGACAGTCGTCTGATGGTCAAAAAGTGGTGGCTCAACATTATGCCTTGTGAGCTGGACGGTGTGAACTGGATTGCTCCCAACTGTGCAATCTCTATGTCATCTAAAGATGTTCAAGTATGAAGCAAGTGTGTGTGTGTGTGTCAAATCATTGGTCCAAAGGGCGCACCCTGAGCTAGGAGAACCGACAACATGGGCAACCGAAATGCACCAGGTTCCCGAATCAAGAATGTTCACAAACGTTCCAATGCGAAGAGCAATATTCCTGAATGATTAGCAACAGCAAGATCATGATTGGAAGGCTGAGTTTTTCTGGCAATTACCCTCCAATAAATTCATATAGACCCTGGCAGATAGGGGTTGGAAGATGGGTCAAACTGTTGATTCACCAGGGGTAGAGTTTCTTTAATTAGGTGCCGATATCTGTTTTGATGACAAATTTCACAGCAGAGGTGCCTAGATATATAAGTGTATATCTAATAATAGCCATTATACCATGTGCATATAGAGACCATAATTCGTATATATGACATATGTCAATTATATGTATCATGCATTATGTGTATTACTGTATTATATTTGTATATATACTACGTGTATATATATATATATACATATAATTGTATATATACATACATTACCTCAGGGTAAACTAACATAGATGTGGAAAACCTATTAGTGGTTTCGCTCGGAAAATGATCCAGAAATGGTGTAGGTTCCCACCAGGATGGAGCAGCCATCCTACGATCCGCTGGGCGCATCGGTGACAGCACCTCCACGGAAGGATTGATGGCGTAGCGCTTCAGCATGTCAGGGCCATCGCCGACCTTTCGCCGGCTATTGAGGGATGGAATGGGAAGATCATGGGGATATGGGATATGAATAGGGTATACAATTAACGGTACGGCATCAGTGATACCAGTACAAGAGCTTGTCCCAGAAAATGGGGAGATCTACTCCCCCACTTCGTGGCAATTGATAATCGTTTCAACGGGAAAATGAGGTTTTACTGGATTTTAGGGGTACCCTTTCTTCGGACAACCATTCGCTTGAAGTAATGCTTCGAAAAGCATGGCCGCCTCACCTTGTCCTAGAACTTGCGGAAGCCCAAAGCCCAGAGTTTTCCAACGAACATAGAGACATAGATTAAGAATATCTGGGAATATCTAAGAGTAATATCTATAATATGTATATATAATTATATATATGTAATAATAAGAATCAAATCTGGATCTTGGATGGCCCCAAAGTTTCACCAATGTCGATGCCACGGAAGCCGTGGACTTCACCATCGCCCGTGGACTTCACGACTCTGGAGGCCTTTTCGAGCTTCAGTTGTTCCATCATCCTGCGGAGCAGGAAATCCATGTTCTTTTTGACATTGGAAAGGCCACTGCCATGAGAAATCCATGAAACCAAAACCATTGGAATAGGAAATGAGACCAATCTCCTGATCCAACGCAATGTGGTCTACTTCAATTTGGAACACAAGTCGTTTTGCCGGAAATGTGGTGAGGAACACCCATGAAACACCCATGTTTGTCAGTCTGCAAGCATCCCACTCAACTTCGCCTATATTTTACTGTGCCCTGTCCTTGTTGCCTGAAATGTCGATGATCGCTTTGTCGACTCGCTTTCCCTGAAAAAGGGCATTGTGGCATCTCCCAAACATCAGCCAGAAGACAAGCAACGGACATCCATAATCATCCATCTGAATCCATCTGAGTATATATTTCAAAAAAAAACACTAACCTGAGTTAAGGCATGTTAAGGCCATTTAGGGATGATTCCAGTTACTAACCATCATTCCAGTGAGGTCGTTACAAATTTACCCTAATTTACCCAGATCCAGGATATTCCGGTCCCATCTGGGACACATGGCCCATTGAGGAGTTCCAAGCTTGCGAAGCAATCTCTCACCTGCCCAAGTCGGGATGTCCACTTGGGTGAACCCATGGTGACCCCCATGGCTACCTTGGATACTTGATGATCACCATGGGACATGTCACAAGGGATCTTTGATGATCTTTGGATCCATGTCCTCAGGATCCGGCAATAGATGGAAGGATCCCAGCTTGCTCTCCGTCCGCTAAGCCTGGCTAGGCAGAAATTGCCGGTGGAGTCCTGAAGACTATGCCACAGGTAATATGATAGGGCGGTTTCACATGGTTTGACCGTTTGTGCCAATTGACATACCGTACCCCAATAAATAGCAGCAATTCACATCAATTCACATTATGTAATATTGTAAGTTCTAGTCCATTGGAATCGGGGGCGCACGTTCAAACATTCAGTGGCTTCAACGGTAAAGGCTGCGCCATGTCCAATTTTCTCCATGTTCAGGTCCCTGGCAAATTCCATCCATAAAGACGTCGTAGCCGTCTTTGCCCTTTCGCAAATAATCCTCACGGCCCACAAGTAGTCTGAGTCAGTCTGAGTCTGAAATATGCTTCAACTGAAGGAAGACCAACCTTTAAACTTTTTAATAGTTGTATATATAATAATATAATATATATATATAATATTATTGAATTGCATCAATGCGAACAACATCGCACCCCATGGGCGTAGATTCACTCGGTCCTTTGTGACGAGCTTGTAGCTTTTTTCCGGCTGAAGTGGCTCATCACCAATCCTTGAGTGATGCCAGGCGATGCCACATCATCTTCACAAATGCACAAATGCTTGGGAATTCTCTGACGTGCAGCTACCCTGTTCAAAATGTAGAACGCATGGGTCGACTGCCAAAAATGTCAAGAGTTACAATAGGCAAGTGATGGCAACGGGATAACCAATCGACGACTACAATCACCTAAGAAAACCTAGTGCTGGCGCCGTTCTGTCGTGGCAGGCATTCACTTTTACAAAGGTAGAGGACCAGTTGCCCTATGGGTGTGGCGTAGCTTGCAAAGTCTGGTGCAGACCTTGCCAACCTGTCTGTGGAGGTTCGACTCCTCCCTGGTCCGTTTATTTGTGTCATTGGGGTGATTGCGTTCGGAAAATCTTCTCGCAAAACGAAGGTTTTGACAGAGGCTTCGAGATCCCCTGCTGGAGCCAAGGCGCTTGACGCTACGCTCCTCAATTCTCGCAAGCGCAGGCTTGGCTGCATCGAAGCTGAAGGTCACACCACTGACCTCCAAGGTCTCCCATCGTCTCCCATGGTCTCCCATGGTCTCCCCAAATGCCCAATTGATTCAGGAGAGTTCTCTGGTGTCGTCCAATGTGGCTGGAAAATCAACTACAACTGGTGGATTTTCCAGCAAGCCATGTTTGACTACAGGAGTAGGGTACCCAAAAAAGTGATTATCTGCAAGTAAAAATCGTACCCTTCCAGTGAAACACCACCAAATCTTTGTAGCCCCCGGTTGACACGACAGAAAATCACAGTGGATGGTGCACGGGGTAACAAGGGTAATACTCAAAATTAAGCATCAATTGGTCCTTGCCAACAATCTTAAGCTTCGACCCATACCCATAAAATATAGGACTTCTTCAATCATCCCACCAGATCCTCGGATCCTCGTCACCGGAATAGGGGACACCAGTTGTCCAAAAACGGCCTGAGCGAAACGGCCTTCCAGGCGCGGGTACTGCGACACGGAATTCTCCAACGCGGCCAGCACCTACCGTCGGTAAGTCGGGTCAGGGATGTTCAGGGATGGGGGAAACCTACCATGACACGATCCTCACTCTCCCGTGCTTATTCCATTTGAATGCGATACTGTATGCGGATCTTTCAATGGCTTCGGGTTGTGGAAAAGGCAAGTTTGAACGTGTTTGAACTACAGCACCCGCTTTGAATCTGGAAAACCGACCCAAATCCGACACTAGAACACCCTGATATCCAAAATCGAACTACTTGGTCCTCATATCTACCCACCGAAAGGTCTTTCCAAAAGCATCCATTGCTATGTCCAAATCGAGATATCCACACCTGTGTGCCGGTGAGTTGCAGCAAGCACAGTTCATCCAACATGGGCAGCAGATTCACCAAGTCGCGAACTTTGATGTCACCTCTGTGGAGGCGCAGTGGATGTTTTGATGCCAGCGGTATGATGTGCCCCAGTTATCAACGTGGATTATATATCTGGAAAAATCATTCGCCAGTTATGAGATGTATCTGGCTGAATGATAATAATTCACTGCCCTGAAAATAGCTAACAAGTTCAGCCATTTGGGCATGATTCCCCCAATCCTAACCATATTCCAGATGTATTACTGGATAACCCCCAGATAATTAACTCTTGGACTTTGAAAAATCAAAGTCACAAATTATATATCAATGTATAGCCATATATAGCCCAGTGATTTTCCGATTTACTAACCAAGTTGTGCTTCACCACTTACGTTGCCTGGATTGCGCCATCCCGGCCTTTTTCAATGATGGCATCTGCCCTCAAGGTGCCGCTGTTCAACATGGCAACATCCGCCTGGGCTATGCCGAAAATATGTTAAGCTATTTCTAGCTCTGGAATTATGTACATAAAATAACATAGTTGTTTAAATTAATGTTGTTTATTTGATTTTGTTGTAAATGTTTACAATCTAGAGTTAGTTCTTGATCACTTTGTTGATTTGTTTGCTTGTTGTATATATGTTTGAGTATTTGTTGAATACTGCAACTATTTGTCCGAATCACTAGTCACTTCTCAAGATTGTAAGGGGAAAAGATGCACAGATTGTTTGCAAACCCTGAGTTACTTCTTGCCTCTTCTGGATATGATATGATCTTCAGCACTACCGTCGCGCCTTCATGGCATACCTCATGACATCTACCACAAAGTTGCCAAGGTTTGTTTCCTGGCGCCCGAAGCTTGGCCAATGGATTCCTCACGGCTACCATCATTCCAGTCCCGTCACATTGCTGATAGTTTTTTGGTTTGTGGAGATGTTCATCCAGCTGATTCCAGGACAAAACATGACAAAACTGCATACGAAAATTTACTATATGCAGTTTTGGAGGGTTCATGGACAAATCCATAATAACAAATCCATAATAACAAAACTGAATAATGATTTTTGGAGGGTTCTGGATATTCACTCATTCCGTGGGTGAGGGGGCATCGACTGGAGTACTTAGAGCAGAAAGGCTCCTGGGTTCGAATGGATGCGAACCGCGAATCCAAATCGACCTTGGCCGGGCTAGCAGTGCAATCGTAGTTTCAGCAGGTCTGAACCTTTCCAGAACGTCATGATTTATTGCACTGAAATGGACGTGGAGACAACCTTCCAGTTCGGAAAGAACATGAAACAAACCAAAAATAACAATACAAAAACATACAACAACCATAAAACAAACAACCCATAACAATCCCAGAGGAGAGTGCCCAACAAAAACGCAGACGCTTCAACCCAAATGAGCTCCTTTGGGCAGCCAGACAGCTGTCGCCCCGACAACTTGATCCATGGCCTTGGGTGATGGGAATATATCAGGGCTGCTATGATTTTTAGATGGGAGTATGGATCAATATTATATGGGAATATGATAATTCCCACCTATATCAGGGAATATATCCCACCATATGGTGATTGGGTGATATCCTATCATTTTAGATGGGATAAGGAAACCCATATGGGAATATGATAGGAATAATGGGAGTATATTTTTTTGGATCCTTGATCAATATGGGATAATATGGGATTAGAATATGGGATTATAATATCCCATATTTTTATGGGTGGTTATTATGGGAATATGTTTATATGTCGATATGGGATAATATGGGATTATAATGGGGGTCACCATGAATATTTACTATATATATATACTGGTTGGTGGTTGACCTACCTCTCTGAAAAATATGAATTCGTCAGTTGGGATGATGACATTCCCAATATATGGGAGAATAAAAAATGTTCCAAACCACCAACCAGTGTGTATATATAATATGATATAGCATGATATAGCTATGATATGTATTGATATGTGATGAGTATGATATGGGTGTGTCTGAAAATGGACAACTCCTTATCATTATTGTTCATTATGCAGAAAATAACAATTGTAACAATGGTAATATGATGAATGACAAATGGATTTGGGGGTACACACCAGCTTTCATCACCCCATGGAAGGGCTCCTTTGCGGAGCATCATTTTTGCGTGGTAAACCCAGGCATCGGAAAATCAGGCAGAAACGCGTAGAAACCAGTTGAATCCTCCAAATGTGAACCACCAATCCATAGGATTTTCTATAGGATCATCATTAGGATTTCCCATTGGATTCCACGGCTTTCTTTTTCGGAGCCATCAGCAGCAGCTCTTAGGTTTCACTGGGGCCCAGCTGCACCCAGGCTGGTCATACATTCGTCCACGAAGGTTTTCATGGTCGGGCACTGGCGAAGGCGGTTTGCTGGAAGTCCGAGGATGTACATAATCGAGATCATAATCGGTCATAATCATGCATATACATGTATTTTGTATTAAAAGGGAACATGTCCTCTAGATACTTAGATACAGGACAAAAATGATAGTGATAGTGCATGATATCATGCAATTTGAAGTTTCCACTCGACTGACACTTCACGGGCTACTCGGCTACTCTCTGCATGACCTCAACCTTAGAATTTTCTCCGCGCGGAAGAGTACTCTGAGCAGGTCACATGAACATTCCTTCCGTCCCTTCCTATCAGCTTCCTGAACGGCGAGTCTAAGTACATGAGAGAAGTTACAGTCGCAGTCATGTATAAATCAATGACGTCAACTCTGGATTCATAGCCCCCTGGGCTGTTTAATTCGGGAGTACCCATTTAGTAGCAGATGATCACTCTTTGGGCACAAACTCCCCCTAATTCATCAAGCAGGAGTTAGGAAAATCGGGTTTGCCAACTTGCTGTAACTCTCATGTCTGCATCTCATCTCTGAAAGCTTCCCACAAAGAAAAGGTGACAAGATCTGTGACAAGTACAAACAGTTCACAACACGAAGTGTTCCAATATCTTTGCGGCGAAACTTCAATCTTGAGATGGAGATGCATGTAACGGCTACGTCTTTGAGTTTGGAGACTTCAAGCAGCCTCCTGCTTTCTTCAAATAATGGGTACGGCGGAGTCGCGCGGAAACTATGTTTGTGCTATATAAACATAGTTAAACATATCAAAAGATATAAAAACAACGTAACCATGGTGGACTGTCAAAAATGATGCTGCCCATGACATCAACAAATAGCCAAAAGTTGGACAGTTGGATTCACATCTCTGAGGTCTTGGTATGGATGAAGTCTGTCATAGACTTCAAGCTCCTGAGCCGACCGGTGCTCGAGAAGAAAGTCATGTTTTATGTCCATCTTCCAAGGACAAATCATGACAAATCGAATCAAACTGACCCGGTGATGAGTTTGCATGTGTCTTCAGCATGTTGATGCTGCGTGTTTGCTTCCAACACCTCACCGCCAAGAGGGGCGAGGGTGGCCCTCCCTTGTCACCATCACCCCTAAGGGCCCTGCGGGTAGTCGAAGACCATCGAAGCAGGCAGGTTGATGCCCGGAACCAGGTTTCGCACCTGCACCCCCCACAAATTCAACCCCTGGTCCTACTACGAGTCAGGCCAGATATTGAATGTTTAAATCAAATGACTAAAATGGCCAAAGAATGCTTTGTTGACCTACGCCCAATAAGACGCCTTTGTTGCTTTGTTGTTTTGTGCCTGGTTGCGGAATTCCACGCTGGACAAGCTGTCCATACCGGCTTCCATCAATGGCGAATCCATCTGGCGTTTGAGTTCATCGGTGGATACAACACTGCAGGCAGGTGGGATCAAGTTTGCTGAAATATTCGAAATACCGAATGGGTCAAACTGAAATCCTTTGGGTGTAAATCATAGACGTTTGATGATTTTTGCGCCGGGAACTTGAAATGGTGTTTTTTCGCAAGCTGCAAATCTTCAATTGTTCGTTTTCTTCTGTCTTCTGTCCATCCTAGATTACAATGGGGCCTCGATGTCGTCGCCAACAATGTTTTTCGAAAGGTTCTTCAAGCCCTCCATGATAAATTCCTGCTCCGACAACGCGACCGTAGGACTTTAGAAATAACTGGGATGTTTCCAGCCGTGCCGATTCTATAGTTTGTGGCCCTCGGTCCTCCCAGGTTGGTTGGGCTTTCCATATCAAATTGGTTTCCAATTCCTATGAAACCAGTTAGTTTGTATTGGATAAGTTCATCGTCGCCATCAATCAAGCCAGTTGGTATTAAAATAGAACAATCAGCAGAATTCACTGTCATTTCACCATACTAACCCATCTTACATCGAATATATATATATAATATATATATAATATAATATAATATAATATATTATATTATATTACATTATATTACATTATATTATATTGTATTATATTGTATAATATTAAATGACAATAAAATATAATATAATATATTATATGTTTATCATATAATATTACATTATATTATACTATAATGTATTATTCTATATATATATATATTATATTTAAAAAAAAAAAACATAATAATTTACATTATATATAAAATATTAAATATCATCTTTTAAATATTATATTATATATATATATATCATATATCATATATTATATATTCTATATTATATATTGTTTATTATTTATTATATGTTATACATTATATGTTTTATATTATTTTATATAATTATATATTTGATTAAATATCTGTTCTTATGTATTATACTAATTGAGCATATCGTAGCCATTTCACCCCCTCAACCATCACCCCTTGCCGGTCCCTCGAGGGGCCGGTGGCCACCGCCGTGGCGACTGAGGACACCATGGCAGGAGTATCCCAGGCTGGGGCTGGTGCGGTACCCGTAGCCGCCTCAAGCCACGAATGGTTGATATGGACATACAGTAGTTCTAAACCCCTGGTGAATGAATATGGGGGGTCTCATTTTGGATAGCACTGAATTACTAGTGTACAAGTAGAACAGCAGCTTCCACACCCAATCGATCAAGATGATCAAGACATTTTGCTGATCCGGGATTGAGATTTCACATCATGGGCTTTTCCAGGGAACAAAATTGACTTTTTATGCTAGTTGGGTTTGTCCAAGAACCAGGTATCCCATCAGCTATGGCTCTTGTAATGGGGAAAATGGCAGTACATAAACCATCAGATTTAGGGGTTCTTTGAAGTTGGTAGCCTGGAATCGTGTTGAGTCTACCTGAGGTGAGGCTCTGTGTCTTGACTGGGCAACCGAAGATCAAACAATGTCATCCATGCTCAGTCTTTCATGCAGGGACAAGGGCAATGTCATCACTGAGGGTCAGGCAGCTGGGGCGGCGCCCCCTCGAGATGTGCCATACATTTGATCCAGGATGCTCTTTGCATACTCCTGAGACACACAGCGCGCCAGCTTCGCAGCTCTCGGCTCGAAGTGTTCCACCTCTACCCCAGGTTATGGTCCCAGATTCGAAGCCAACATCTTCAAAGTACATCACAGCCCTGGCAATGGCCCACACCCCCATGGAATCATCTGTGAAAAACGTAAACGTGATCAACATGACCAACGTGACCAAAGTGACCTGTCGACATGTGGTTCGCTGGACGATGAGGAGATGATAACAAGCAGTGTCCGCTCTCCTCACCCTCAGCATCGCGTAAGTCTCGGAAGATTGCCAAGGCCTAACATATCTCACAGGTGTAAAGAACACATGGTCATTTCAGATGTGCTTTCCATGCACCCAAAATCTGAGGTTGTGCTGCTCATGCCGTCGCCTGCTTGGCTTGTTCGCTGGCCTTGCCCATGTAGTTTTCTGCCTCATTGCTGTTGCAATACAGAGTGCAATGTACAGTACAAGGTGGGGCCCAGATAGCTAAGCTGATTTTTAACTGGTGTAGCGAATTGGATTGTTGAACCAGCTTATAAGTATCATATAACTATGTATATATGGGGGTTGTCCAAAATACCTTTTCCCGGACAGCCCTCAATCGCTCAGCCAATCGCGTAGCAACCGCGGTACCACAGTGAGCAATCGCGGAAGGGTTTGTTCTTCGTTGATCAGATCATATACATAAAATATAAGTTGTGTATTATATATATATATATATATAATGAGAGTAAGGATCCATGCCTGAACGCATTCGATTTCAACTTTGGGAGCAAAATAAGCTTGCGCGGTCCGGAAACGGTCCGGAAAACTCACAGTAGTACCAGCAGCAGTAGTACTAGTACTACTAGTAGTACTAGTAGAACTAGTAGTACTAGTAGTAGTAGTAGTAGTAGTACTAGTAGTACTAGTAGGGGTAAGAGTAGGAGTAGGAGTAGGAATAGGAGTAGGAATTCTAGTAGCAGGGCAAGGGAAGAAAGGGAGAGGGAGGGAAAGAGAGAAAGAGAGAGAGAGGGAGAGAGGGAGGGAGGGGAGGGGGGAAACAGATGGTTGCGTTTGGCCGGTTTCTGACTGGTTTGTGACTGGTTTGTGACTGGTTTCTGACCCTTCAGCGGGACCCGTGTCAATTGGATTTAAAAGCAAAGGCAGAAATTCCTAGGTGTACTAGTGGTAGTGGTGGTGCAGTAGCAGCGGGTGTGGTGGTAGTACTAAGAGTAAGGGCAAATTAGTGCTTCTGTACTGTTCGGTCCCCAACGGGTCTTCAGAGAAGCCCCTCAGCCGTTTATGGGGAGTCATAGAGAGTGGGAGTAAGGCAATCCATGCAGTGAAAGCATTCGATTTCAATTTGGAAGCAAAATAAGTTGCGGCGGTCCGCGAACGGTTCCGGAAAAACTACCACAGTAGTTACCAGATAGGGACTAGCAGTAGGAGCACTTAGCACTAGCAGTAGTGGTAGTGGAAATTGCATAGAGTAGGCGTAGGAGTTTCTGATGGGAGGGTGAGGGGAATAGCAAGGAGAGAGGAGAGAGAGAGAGATGAGTTGGCCGGTTATGAGGGTTTCTGACTGGTGTCTGGACTGGTTTCTGACTCGTTTATGACCTTCAGCACGAGTTGCAATTGGGATTTAAAAGAAGAGCAGAAATTCCTAGGGTACTATGTAGTGGTGGTAGTGGTGTGCAGGTGTGCAGTCGCAGCGGGTGTGGTGGTAGTGCTGGGGGTAGTAGCAAATCTAGTAATGAGAGTAAGGATCCATGCGTGAACGCATTCGATTTCAAATTTGGGAGCAAAATAAGCTTGTGCGGTCCGGAAACGGTCCGGAAAACTCACAGTGCACTAGCAGTAGCAGTAGCACTAGCAGTAGTGGTAGTGGAAATTGGAATAGGAGTAGGCGTAGGAGTTCTGGTAGGAGGGTGAGGGAATAGGCAAGGGAGAGAGAGAGAGAGGTTGCGTTTGGAGTAGGAGTAGGAGTAGGAGTAGAAGTAGTAGGAGTAGGAGTAGGAGTAGTAGTAGGAGTAGTAGTAGTAGTAGCAGTAGTAGCAGTAGTAGTAGCAGTAGTAGTAGTAGCAGGAGTAGTAGTAGTAGTAGTAGTAGTAGTATTAGTAGCAATGATAAGAGCTGAGGTGGATGGATGGATGGATGGATGGATGGATGGATGGATGGGATGCTAGGCAAGTGCTGCCTTTTTGGTGTTTCTGACCTGTTTCTGACCTGTTTCTGACATGTTTTCAATTGGAGCTAGCTTGAATGTCCTTCTGACCTGAAAACATCTGCGCGGATTCCGCGCGCGCGGATTCCGCGCGCGCGGAATCCGCGCGGCCATGTCAATTATTGGCATGGTTCTGGTCTCGAAAGTAGTAGTAGTAGTAGTAGTAGTCGTAGTCGTACTCGTACTGGTAGTAGTAGTAGAAGTAGTAGTAGTAGTAGCAGTAGTCGTAGTAGTCGTAGTAGTCGTAGTAGTCGTAGTAGTCGTAGTAGTAGTAGTAGTACTAGCAGTACTAGTAGTAAAAGTAGTAAAAGTAGTAAAAGTAGTAGTAGTAGTAGTAGTAGTAGTAATAGGGTGGTAGCCGTATAACCAATCGCCAACCAATCGCTCAGCCTATCGCGATGCAGGTTTTAGCAATCGCGCAAAGCAAAGTAAACGCATCAATTCATAAATTTGTGACCTGCTTTTACGGACGGCTCCCATATATATATATGTGTGTATGTGTGTAATTATAATAAGTATATAATGTGTTTTTGTTGACCCTTGTGTCGATGGCACACCAAAGCAACACAAAGGCCTCAATGGTGGCCCTTGCCGCTCGGGAGTGGATCATGGATGCCTCTCGGAATGATTTTTTGGGTGGTGTAGCCACCGAAATCTATGTATCAGATTTGTATCAGTATCTATCATCATCCTTCCAATCTCTTCCATGTGTTTGTTGCCTATCATTTGCTTATACTCCAGTTTTGCCGATGATCTCAACCAACAGATCATGTTTAATCTTAAATCATCTTAAATCCCCATTGCAGCTGGTGATGCCAGGGTGCCATGTTCACCTCAGCGGAGATGCACAGCATTGAAGCTTCCAGGGCTTTGTCGCCCACCTGCGATTTTTCTTTCGGAGAGTAGCTTCATTTTGGGACATATCCTCCATTTGGGACAAACGGACTGCATAACAAATCGAAATAAGCACAGCTCGAAATTGACTGGCCAAAATGGGATAGTTGAATGTGGGGTTTGATATGGTTTGATGAAATTCTGGTCCAAACCCAACTGTCAACATACTCATCTGGGGGTCAAGTCATTGGGTATGACCAGCCCATCTGCAGGTTGCCCTTGGCGTTGTCAAAAATAAACTTGCACTTGGGATTTGAACCCCCATTCAACAAATGTGAGCCAGTGGTGAAATAGCAATTTTGACCGTTGGACTCCCATATGTTTGGTTTGTTGGTGCTTTATGACTCTTTGGGATTTGCACCTGGCAGTGGAAAGTCACTGTAGATTATTGTCCTAATGGAAACAACTATTCCCTTTGTCAGGTAAAGTATTGTCAGAAAATACACGTGCTGCAAAAAACATCCCAATTCGACAGGTTCAACCACTTCTGACATGAAAAAATAAAGTGTTGATCAAACATGGCAATAGGGAAACCAGTATCAGGGAGTACTCCTCAACCGGTCAAGTGGTTTTTCCAACGATCTCAAGTTCCAATCCATACCCATATACATATCGGGGTTGGTATTTGGGGAGGACTGTTGGGTCAAGATTTTGTAGCTGTAAAGTAGCTCTGCCCAACCCCAATCATTACATTTTCCATGCACAGGCAAAAAAAAAATCACTACAAAAGTGCAACCCCAGCCTGGATAAAGGGTTACTACAAAAACCAAAGAATCTAACAAGAGGCCTTTCAAGAGACCCTTAAAAAACCACGTAGATGTTTGTAGTGATTTTTAAGTAGATCCCACTCAAGTCTTCAAGATCAATCCAAAAAAAATGACAAAGTAGTTTGTAGTGATTTTTGGTATGCACTACAAAAAAAAAGTGAACAGAATTGTCTTTTGACAGTAAGAAATTAAATGACAAATGCAAGCGCCAGAAAACCTGGTCGTGTGTGGTCTTGTGATGATCGACGAGAGTAGGTGGTTGCCATGGGGGAGGGACAAAGATTTCTTGAAGTGGATTTTGTAGCGTTGGAACGCTGCAACTTGATTTTGTAGTGGACCTCTTTGGGCTTTGGGTATGCAGCGGCCAGTGTAATTGAAGGGTATGTTTGTGCGGTATTGGTTGACTTTGCAATGAAAAGCAGAGTGACAGATTGGCAGCATCAATCGAAATGGATTGTCCAATCCTGGGTTTGTGTGTGTGTTGTGCATGTTTTTCTCAGTTGTTGGGTCGAATAAGACATGGCAGCGCAAATTCAGCAGTGATTTCACTCGAGCACTGCGAAAATGTCTTTTCTACAAACTGCAACGGCCCGCTATTATTTAAATTGAAAACTACTCTGGGGAAATATTAGTATTGAACGTGGAACCCTACAAATTTACTACAAAGCACTTTCAGGGCAAACCTGAGTGAATTCAGATATCCATTTTGGGTCGACTATTATCTCACATACTTAACCACTACAAACTTCTATGACCAGCCCATGTTTGAATCTAGAAACATATGTGACCTAGGGCTACTACAAAATGCAAGGACACATGGTCCTAGGGGGACTGTAAAAACCATTGAAAAGTATTTTTTACATAGGACCCAAGTCCACTACTTTTGTAGTGGAAATTCCAACCAGGATATATACAATATATTGCATACATGCTGAGTTTGCGTACCGATGTATCTCAGAACTTGAAACCCCAACTTCCCATATGCTGGAAACAAAAAGACCGACCAACAAACCCGATGCAGCCGCGTAAAATTGATTTGTGGAAGAAAATCTGTCAACAGTTTTTTACATCTTCCCCTGCTACCGTGCAATTTTAGGCTGTGGAGTGTGGAGCGGGGGGGAGCGCAGAGTGTGGAGTGTGAAGTGTAGAGTATAAACAGTGGAGTGCTGAGTGGCGAGTGTAGTGCCTAGAGTAAGAAGAGAAGAGTCTGGACTGGAAAGAGTGCAAGGTGTGGAGCGCAGAGCGTTAGAGTGTTGAATCTCGAGTGGGGATTGGGAAGTGTAAAGTGCGGAGTCTGGAGTGTAAAGTGTGAAGTGTAGCGTTTTAAGTTTTAAGTGGGGGGTGCAGGTTGTAGAATGTAAAGTGCGAAGCGTAGAGCGGAGTGTAGAGGGCGGAGTCTGAGGTGAAGAGTGTGGAGTGTAGAGTCTAGAGTGTGGAGCGTGAAGTGTGGAGTGTAAAGTCTAAAGTGCGGAGTGTGGAGTGTAAAGTGTGCAGCTTTGATTCAAGTAACGGCTCGGAGATGCACGATATTAAAGTCGATTGGCACAGGGTTTATGGGCCAAGCAGCGCCGGCAAAGCGATGTCCATAAAGCGCCGCTGCTGGAAATTGGGACTGCACAAGCCCCAAGATTCTGCTGCCAGTTCTGCCGCACGGTCGCAGTAGGGATTATCCGTGATGAGGCGGAATTGACCCGCTTGGCCGCTTGGAAGCAGGAAAATTCCTAGCGCACGCGGCAGGGTGCTTCCGTCATGTGAAAAGACAAAGATAATCAAAGATATGATGGAACAGCTGTGTAGCAACAAGAAGGCTTCAAAACCGACGCTGGCTTGGTCTGCACAACAGTATTCGCCACGAATGCAAACCAACTAATATGTGAAAGACGTTCAGTTCAGACGAAGACTTTTCGGTCGGCATCCCGCACAATGTCCGAAAAAAATCGGACCGGATGGTGGGCGGATATCCTCGATGGAAAGTATGATCAGCACCACCGGGGATGGCTTCTACTATTGCGCGGAACTACCTGCACCCTGTGCCTCCGACATTGAAGCCTTTCTCTGCACAGCACCATGGCGAGGGCCAGAGGGTCTTGCCGGCGCCTCGATCTGTCTGAGTCCGTGCATAGCCAACACGGTGCAAACAGGCGACCTGGATATGATGCCCAGATGAGGAGACGTACATGGCAACAAACCCGCATTGAGGGAATCGCAACATCTTAGAGTGGCACCACACGACTCTGCATGTGAGATCATGTGAATGTTAGTCATGCTCAGCTCCTATGCCGCTATTTTTCAGATGCCGTGCCCAGAGGTGTGACAGGACGGATTCGCCGCTGACGTGCGGCGACCAAACGCCATCTAACTAAAAACTGCTGGGTGATATGATTGATGGTTGGCTTGAACCATCACATCCTGTATCGGTGTCCTCCGAGACATCCCCAAATTCCCGTAGGCCGAGCAAGTCAGGCACCACAGCCACTCCCATCACACAGCGGTGAGCTGTGAGCTGAACTGCATCCGACTCCAGGTTGAAATGAGCCAGATCTGGGCACCAGACATTGCAGGGTGAACGCATGGGTCGCATGACCCTGGCCCCCTCCTCACCACATATCTTCAGCTGCAGCAGCCTGGACCGGTGTGGACCTTCTACACTCCAAGGCCATATGCTGCTGCGGATGTGGACGTTCTTGGATGTGGAAGGCAACGTGAATGCGAAGTGTTGGAAGCTGCTCAAGAAGTATCTAGGCGAAATTAGTGGAACAGTGTCTCTATGATGTCTGGCTGATTCAGCTTGGGCTAGGTCATGTTGTTGGATCATGTCTGTCTGCACCTGTAATATCAATTTGGTCCTGCCCGCCATATCAGGATCATAGCAGACAGCAAACTCTCGGGTATATCACTGATCCCTGGCTGAGGCACGCCGGTAGGTCCTTGCAGTTCCCTGACTTGGCGATCCCGTGCTTGGAGAGCATGTTCGCTGCGGCGCTGCTTGGCTGCGCCACCACGGACCTCACACAAAATGGCTGCGATACGAACGCGGCGGGAGTTTCACCGATCATCACCGCATTTCTGGCCAAGGTGCCAGGCGGCCACACCACCTTGATGCAACCTTTCCGGAGACGAAGTCCCGTCTCCAAGGTTGGGTCCACCACCAACATACCCTTCATGAGGCAAGACGAAAAATTTGGCAAAGGAAGGACGCCGCGAAGTTGCCAAGCCTCATAAACTTCCCGGCTTTCCCCCACCAAGCCAAGTGCCTTCGCCACCTCAAGGGAACACTCACATTGTCCGTCTGTCACCTCCCAATCACCGTACAAGATGTCTTCTTCAACAAAGCTTTGCAATTTGGGCGGCAGCAAAACAAAGCGGCTAAGGGTGCGGAGCAAAGCCATCCTAGCATATGCCGTGCTGATGTCCTTGCATGCTGCTAAAGGGTTGCGTGCCGAAGGACTCTCCTGGAGTGGGATGGCACAGTAGCACGTCTCGCCATCCTCCCGGCCGCACACGCTGAACAATACGGGGCAATTTCTGTAGTGGCCATTGGCTAGAAGAGATTGAAAATGGGTGGGCTTCCACGACTTGCGCCTTCTACACAAGACGACTTTCGACGAAGTGCCATATGAAACGACATTAGAACCTCTTTTGAAACCGTCAAAGTGAAAGGTTTCGCTGCTTTTCACATAGGCACGGCGATACCATGCAGAACAAACCCGGACGAGACATGTAGGACGCGGATAAAAAAGCATTTCGTACGAGACTTCCTTCAGTTTTCACATGTCGTGGCTACGAAACCGACGTGTTCCCACGAGTTTTTCTACTGAACCCAAAATGTCCTACCTCAAAATCGATGTTTCGTGCAAAGCTTCCTCTAATTTTTATGCACAAAGTGCCACGCCTGCCAAGCACTTTGCGCATTGACACCAGTCGACGCAACCCTGACAATGCGATTCGCAAACAACACGAAACACGCCACGTCTAAAGTGCTGCGACTGCCACGCAAAATAAGACATGTCCAAAATGCTGCGCCTGGCACGAAAAATGCAAGTCATCGTTTGAAAACCTTGCCAACGTACTGCGCCTGTCACACAAACGACTTTTGACACGTTAGGAAACATGTTGGGTTGTCAGGAAGTGCCACACCTGCCACACGAAACACTGTTACGCGATGTGTCAAACCTCCAAAAGTGACCACTTTTATGCAGCACTCGCTATGGGCACGGCCATAGCGACCTCATCAAGAACGGCTGCGAACGCTCGCGAGCGGCTACGAACGTTTGCGAACACCCCCAGAGACCCAAAGTAAAACGAGAACCCTCCACTACGCATTCGGGAAAAACTGTTGATTTTCCCGCTTAGAATTGCCATAAATTGGGTGCCCATACTTTTGGTGTTTTTCCCATAATTGTATCCCATGATATCCTTCATTTTATATATCTGTGGGTTGTTGTGCCACTGGATATGCCATATCTACGTCGGTTATCCCCCATGTTTGCTGCCCCAAACTCCCAAAACAAATCCAGAAAAGCAAAAAAACATTTGGTAAATAGCAAGGATATATAGTTAATTAAAAAACAACATCCGAAAAAGAAAAGGATCCATAAAACTGCAAATTATCCCCCCCTCCCCAAACAATACATAAGCGGGTAGTAAACATATATATATATATATTCCATGTACTCATGTACAGATGGGACAACTCCCCCAAATTCCAGAACCCCTTCCTCCCCATAAATTGCATATATTATCCCCAAAGAAAAGCATAAGTGCCATATTTATAGATATCCCCCATCTATAACCCCGTTTATAGATGGGATAACCCAGTGAAGAAGTTCTCCACCTCACCTCCTGTGCGATCTTCAGCCCCTCGCGCGCGGCTTCCTCTGCCGTCTCCGAGTTGCTGCAGACCAGGCTGGCATTGGCCAAGGTGCGGAGCGCCCCGGCCTGCCCGGGGGATCCGTGGGAAATGATGGGAGAGGATGATTAGATGATGGTCAGATATGCTGAGGATCTTGGGGTATTGGGGGAATGAGGGAGTTCTGAAATACAGAAAATTGTTTGGAAATTGTTGGCACTCACCTCCCATCCTTTGGATGAACGAGCTCCTGCAAGTGAGGCACATCTTTCCACAGAGTTTTGCAGAGATCGTGGTGAAGATTCTCCCAAAAAGTACTTTCTTGGAGTGATCCCCACCCTGGCACAATATTCTGACATAGTTTCTGCATACCATCTGGAAGTAAGTATATATGGCAGTACATGGCATATATGTTCTGACCTTTTTTCTGACATACTTTCTAGCATATATTCTGACATTCTTTCTGGCATTCTATCTGGCATCTATTCAGGCATTCATTCTGGTATTCTACCTGGCATCTATTCTGACATTCTAACTGGCATTCTATCTGACATATATAATTCGGCCTGGCATTCTATCTGACATTCTATCTGGCGCTCTGTCTGGCATTCTTTCTGTTCTATCTGACATTGACATATTCTGACCTTTGGTCTGGCGTTCTCTCTGGTATGTGTTCGGGCCCAGGCGTGCCCAGCTGCATCCGGAGCGCACGATAAAGTTCGGGCCCAAGCGTGCGCAGCTGCCTCCAGAGCTCGCGATAAAGAGTTTTGGCGCAGGCGTGTGCAGCTGCATCCGGAGCGCACGATAAAGAGTTCGGGCCCAGGCGTGTGCAGCTGCCTCCAGAGCTCGCGATACAGAGTTTGCGCTGCAGTGCATCCGGGGCTCGCGATATGCCTCACAACAACTGCAGGAGGATCACACCAGGCGCAAAGGAGAAGTAGCTGGAAGAAGATGAAGATGAAGATTAGAAGGAGAAGGAGTGGCACCTTTGTTAAAATCTAGAGACCCTCACCTAGCAGGCGGGGAACAAAAAAGTATTGCATCAGTGAATCTTCAGGTTCACCCCTCTGTTATCATATAGAAAAGGAGTTCTTGATTCCAGTCCTTGGCAACTGCTTTATCGCCCCACTTGCCGAAAAGGAACTGTCAAGACTGTCGGTCCTTGAAATCCAACTGGCTGGCTCGTTTGGAAACTGTTCTCTTCTATATAAAATTGCATAATGCTGGCATATACACTGTGTACAGCCAGCCTACTTTGTTGGGATAAGAAGTCAAGAAGGATTGTTTCCACATCTTTCCACAACAAGATCGCCTTTGATCTCACTGGCCCTCATCTCCCGCGGCCCTTAAACAAATGTTGGGATTCTTGCCCAAGCCGAAAATGTCGAAACACACACACACACTAGACAAGAATGGATCATTATATGATCCGGCAGGAACTGAATCCTGAAACATGCAGATTAGATATGAAACAACGAAAAAATAAATGACCAAAAATGATTCCAGATTGCGACAACAGTGCAGCAACAAGACAGCTTGTGCAACAGTTCAAACTGAGTTCTGCAGGTACAAGTGGTTGATCAGACCACTCATCCACCGAAATGCCATAGCTTCGTTGGACTGGATAGGCAAATCGGCTCCAGTCCCCCTGCGTTGAATTTAGAATTAGAAAGGGAGAGGACAAAGGAAGAAAAAGAGAGAGAAGTTTTACATCTATTCAGATGTTACACACACACACCCGGCCGGAGCCGGGTCAACCCTGAAAGGCAAGAGGAAGAAAAAAGCGGACACACGAAGGGCAAACGGCCAAAAACAGCGCAGGGGGGGGAGGGGAACGGACGGACCTCCGGAACCAACCTACACGGCGAAACGGACCTGATCAAAACAGCGCACACACCTAAACCCCACGACACATTACGGAGAGGCACGCGGGGAAATTAGGGACCAAATGGGGGACTAGTTGATGACAGACAGGAAAACCAAAACAATTAATTAAAAACAGGATTCAGTCCCTAAATGCCTAAAGGTCGTGCGATTATTCCCTGCACCGGGACCGTGGTCAAGTCTTGCCCCAATTGGCATATAACAGCTTTCAAAGTCCAACGAATTAGGTGCACAACATGTTTCACCTCACCAGACAACCATCAAAAGGAAAAAGACCACACCTGAAAGACATGAGCCTGCCTGATCCAGTTTCATGTAGTGTTGCCAAATGTCGCTGTGAAATTGCTGCAGAATAAGAGGTTTCTGAATGTTCGGCACAACTTCACTCAGTAGAAAAGAATTTCACAAGGATCTCAAGGGACGACAGGAGCCGCGGGACATCGCAAAATGGTGCATAACCGTAAGGCAAGCTGTTGCACTTTACTTAAACGAATTACTAAGTTAAAATGTGTGAATTCAGAATTCAAGACGGTCGACACTCACCCTGAAAAGGGTTGCCTCAAATGGCTCCATGGCACCATGTCGGAGCCACCATGGAAATCACACTAGACAAGAATGGATCATTATATGATCCGGCAGGAACTGAATCCTGAAACATGCAGATTAGATATGAAACAACACAAAATAAATGACCAAAAATGATTCCAGATTGCGACAACAGTGCAGCAACAAGACAGCTTGTGCAACAGTTCCAACTGAGTTCTGCAGGTACAAGTGGTTGATCAGACCACTCATCCACCGAAATGCCATAGCTTCGTTGGACTGGATAGGCAAATCGGCTCCAGTCCCCCTGCGTTGAATTTAGAATTAGAAAGCGAGAGGACAAAGGAAGAAAAAGAGAGAGAAGTTTTACATCTATTCAGATGTTACACACACACAACAATACCACCACCACCACCATCACCACCACCATCATCGTCGTCGTCGTCATCGTCGTGGTCGTCGTCATCATTGTGGTCGTCGTCGTCCTGGTCGACGTCGACGTCGACGTCGTCGTCATCGTCATTACAACAATAATAATCATCGTCGTCGTCATCATCGTCATCATCGTCCACATGTGCCATGGTCAAAAAATTGTATGTGCCGTCATCTACTCTACACTTGGCATCTGTTTAATGGGTAAATAAATCCCGATGAATGGATTGATGACGATTCCCCACTTGGTGGATAAACATCATCCAACTATATCCGACTTCTTTATGTATAGTCAGTTACAAATGGCATGAAGCCCCCCCTTAATTGCTGATCCCACAAAATGTCCCCAGTGGTACCCATTATATGAATCACCATGTCAAGTGATGTCCGATCCAACTTTGTGACTATGGCACACTGACACACCTCCAAACATAGATATTATCCCAATATATATTATATGTTTATATAACATATATATTCATATAATATTATCATATATATATTCATATATATGTCCCAAGTTATTCCATCCGTGGGAACCTCCAAACGCCGATCGTCCAAGTCAGCAGCACGGTCCACAGCCATCTCTGCTGCTCGATGGGCCTCCCAAGGCCCAGCGATGAAAGGCGAATCAGCGAGGCACCAGAAACCCGGCCAACATGGATAGAGAACTATAGAATACTATAGATAATATATGATAATATATGATATATGATAATATATGATAATATATGATAATATATGATAATATATGACAATAATTATATATATATGATAATATAAATGTCTTGGTAGACATATGATTGGCACAAATTTGTAAAAGCAGCGATTGGTTGGGGATAAGCACATGTGACACATGTTCACTTCTTTCACGTCCGCATATGTTCCAAATGTCTACAACTGTTCTACTTGGTTGGTGGCCAGGATGAAGACTATTTGGGCGGGACTTGACAGCATGACAAACAAAATGAATAGTCACATCGAATGTCCAAAGTCTGTGCTATATGTAAGCTGAAAATTGTGCGAACATCAACACCTTTTTGCTTCTATGTGAAGAAGAAAGCCAGGCCCCTGTATGAACAAACTGAATTATTTTTGCCAACATATGCACTCCAGGATCAGCGACATTCAAAATCTCACGGGCTGTTGATGCCCATCCGGCCTTCTCAAAGATGTTCTGCAAGACTTCTTGCTCCTCTTCAGACTTCTCCTGTGTTCTACTAGCAACTTCATCACAGCGTCACTAACACAGGAGCTGGGGCATGAATCACATGGCTCAAATCCACCGATTCATCATCCTCGACATCATCACCACCCGCCAGGGCCACCAATTTGGCAACCTCTCACAGCTTTGCGCGAGTGGGACAACAATAACAAGGCCCCTACCAGTCTGGTACTATGGGAAATCAGTACAAATAATAAAAAATGTTATAATAAGGTATAATAAATAGATGATATTATGTAGGTATATGTGTGCGTGTGTACGCCATTTGAATATACGGGTTCGTAAATATATGAACTGGTGCTTTAGACTACCTCCGGGAAGGCTTTCCTTGGCCCCCCGGCCATTTAAACGTATGGAATCCAAATTATTTAGATATACACTTGAATGGAACTGGTGTTTCATTCTACCTCCGGGCCTCGTGGTCTGGCCGGCCCTGCACATATTTACATGTTGTTATCGTGTATAGTTATATTATACATACATGCATGCATGCATGCATGCATGCATACATACATAGATACATACATACATTACATTGCATTACATTACATTACGTTACGTTACGTTGCGTTGCGTTACGTTACGTTACATTACATTACATACATATCAATGGGACGATCATCTATTCATGTCCGACTGTTTACTAGTCAGTGTGTATCCAACTGCTGCAACTGGGCAAAGTACGAGCCAACTGAGCCACCAGCCCCCGCTTCTGCCAGCAACTTCAACGCGTTCACTTCAATTCTCCCTGGGACACTTCATCGAGGGTTTTTATGACACCCAAGCGGTCATGAATGGCCTTCAATCTGCAAGTACTAAGGAATAAACGATCATAATACGTTGTGTATATACATGTATATAGGTGTGTATATATATATATATGATGGTGTATATATATAATGGTATATGTATATATATATAATGGTATTTATATATATAATGGTATATAAATAAAGGTATATATATAATATAATGTTATATTATATATATATATTATCTTCTCCCCTGTGGAAGCCCCGAATGCATCCAGTATTCCATGGTCTTCAGCATTTCTGTCACAGCTGAGTTCAAGGCTAGTGGCCCATCCTGCGTGTGCTGGGATGTTTGACTACCAGAGGGGTATAGGTTAAAAATTGTTAAAATCTATTGGCTCAATATGGGGGGAAGATCCAGAAGTACCACGAATTTCAGAGCAGAATGCCAGGATTTTGACCCATGATCTGTCGTAGCGTTTTCTCTGTGAAGGGAATCTTGTGTGGAAATCGGGGGGAATACGGCCGACATGTTTGAAGATGTGCCAGTTCCCATGACTTGCAGCTTAGTTTGAGAAGATCCAGCGTTACAACCTGCTGGGACCCTGCCAACTTTTGTGCTGCACAGGTCTTCACTGTCCTTTGCGAGACCTTTTCACCAACTGATAGGCTTTCTCCGCTGCAGTTGCCGCCGCCTTGCAGTCGGCTGCTTCACAGCTGGCAGCCAAACAATCCCTTTTGACTGGCTTGCTTGTCTCCATTTTGGACCGAGTGCATTTGTCTGCGGAAAGCTCTATGTAGAGTTCAAGCATAGTTTTTTCATGTGTCTGAATGTATACGTATGTATATGTTGCGAAAATTGGATTCAACACCGCACTAGCGTCATTTCCTAATCTTCTGTCATCTTCTCGGCCCCGGCCTCAGCATCACCACCTTCCTCCAGCATTTGCACCTTGGCTACCAGTCATTTCGATTCATTTCGCCAGTCATTCGAGTGCTTGTGCAATTCAGCTTCCGACACGAGCAAGGGTAGACAAGCCATCATATTGTCCCTTTGGGTCCTGCGAGGCACCTTAGGCACCTCATATGACCGTTGAAAATTTGCCCAGAAAATGAGGCAGCGATGCTTGGTATGGAAACTGAATGGTTAGAGAATAATTGCCATTTCGTGCCCAAAAATGCTGGTGACCCAGACATCTCACAGGATGGATTTCGAGATGTCCATCAAGTTACTTCCGGCCCCAAAGATTGGGGGTGTCCTCAAAATTGCCATCTATAAACGAGGACAACTGATGATCAACCGGGGAATTCCCCATGCTTTCCGATGATTTTCAGATTTAACCCCATACTGTACCTGATGGAAACAAAATTCCCAAAACTTATCATATCTTATCATATATTCCTATATGTGTCCATTGACTGCCAGTTAATACCCCATAGGAACTTGGATACGCTTCAGAGGTCCACATGTTTTTTCAAGATCTTCCCTATAGTTCGATTCCTGGCGATCTTCCATTTTCCATTGGGAAATTAAACAAACCAATCTAACTATAGGAATTAGTTCCCCGTTTCCCACTGTTTCCCATTTTCCATTGTGAAAATGAAAAATCACCTTTCAACAAATTGAAATCGTGGGAAATAAACATCTTCATTTTACTTCCATTTTACCCAATATGATTACCATGTTCCATTGAAATTGAACAAACCAATCTCACTATCGGGATTATTTTCCATGACGCAGGAATTACCCTCTGGTAATTTCTTACATATATAGATAATGGCCATTTATGGATGATTTACCATGATTTACCTAGTAAAAATCGGTGATCTTCAATAGCAATGTAACAAATGACCGGTATTTCCCACTGTTTCCCCATGAGTTTCTCCATAGAAAAACCCGCGTCTGTTGGTCTCCTCGATGGTCTTGAAGAGCTGCAACGCCTCCTCCGCCGTCTGGACCCCACGTCGCACCTCGGATGGGAATGCAACAAACAATACAACATACTTATATGAACATATTTATTGTTTGTATTGTTTATACATATTATATGAACAATACACATAGATATTATTGATACAAACATATGTTCAAATAATTATGTATATATATATATACATCTATGAACATATTTATTGTATCAATAACATCTATGATTATCTATGTACATGTGCATTCGTGTTTGATATCCAGCTTTGGACGCTTGAGCTTCATGCATCACCAAAGCCTGCGTGCACCTCACAACAAGTCACGAAGGGGGAAATCCCTGAAGTTCCCCGGGGCATTAAAAGGGGACATGCGTCTAGAAACAGTGGTTAATAGTGGTTAATTATGGTTAATAATAGTTAGTTATGGTTAATAATGTTTCATATACTTATAGTTAATGGTGGTTTAATAGTGACTAATTACGGTTACTGTAATCATAGTTAATAATGGCTACAGTCATAGTGGGTTGTCTATTGCCATGTTTGATATTCGAAGGGTAGCTAATTGATTAGTTGACAGAATTTCCCGCAATCCAGTGTGATAATCACCAATAACTATATATCGAATAGTATCACACCGTATAAATCCATGTAATATCATATAGTCATATAATAATCATCAATGTCATCAATCAACGGAGGTTTCGAACACTGCCTCAATTAGCTCTTGGCTCTGACAAAACTGCAATCACTCAGCGCCATTCATCCTTCATTTAAGACCGTTCTGACCTTCCAAGGTTCAATGTATACAAAAATGGTGCAACAATTCATCCGTTGTCGATGAAAATCAGGTAAGAAAACAGCTATGATACACTTCATGCTGCTCAGATCCAGAACCATAGCTGACATAGCTGGTCAAATGGGGATCCCCCATTTGAATCTACTGCTGAAGGGGCATCCCCACCTCCGCCAGCAACAACATGGTTTGAGCTTCTCCGGTTTGATCTTGGATCTCTTGGAACAAAGCCAGCGCCTGGTTCTATGCTGATGGTGCACCTTTGATGAAACTGTCAAACTGTCAAACAATATCAAGCACATGGGGGCGTCTTAAAATGCTGATACCCCAATTTCTGTCTACTTTAATGGGAAAATGTTGATAAACCATTGGACTTTGGGGGTACCCTATTTTCAGACAATGCCACATCAAAAAGTGGAAATTCCACAGCAACTCTGAAGTGTCTCAGTCCCACCTCTTGCCCCCGTGCATCAGCATCCTGCTCATAACCGGCCTTGCACCACTAGGAGAGTCACAGTCTGAAGCTAGAGGAAACATCTTCAACAAGGTGTTTGACACATGTTGAAACTAAGAATTAATAGACAATAATGGCCATAATCTGAAATTTCCGACAAACCCAAACCACTAATAACCACTAAATATGTTGCATCTTGGGGAAAAAAGAGAGACGCAAAGGGAACAAATAGCCAGGACTTTTGTACCGAGAACTCAGAAAAGCAGAACTCATATGGTCGAATATGATCTGATGGAGGGTTCCTGGGGCTCCTGGGGCTCCTGGGGCCCCTTGGTCTGCTCGAAAATCAGCCAAGCGACCAGGAAGAACATGCGAGCTGCTTCACGAAGACATCTTGCCTGCTGATGTAATGGATCCGATGCCATTCTTGCGGATTTCTGGCATGGAGGAACCAATTTTCATACAGGGATAATGAATAAGAAAAACAAATTCGCCATGCTGGCATTGGGAATTTGAGGGTTTTCTTGTATTGACAGCCAGGCATATAATGACTTCCCCTTGGTATCCCTTGGTTGCTCACTCTGTCCCAGAATCCCTGGGTCTGACAAATCATCAACATGACGACGCGGTTCATCTTGCGCTTCACTTCCAGGCCTCGCCCTTCTTGTCTGTCGCATCGTAGAAGAGGGCACGCCTTGAGTTGTACGTGAAAGATTGTGAACGGCAATCTGCCTATTTTGGTTGTATGGTGTGGTCTCCAACCATCTCTCCGTCTACGGAATGCGAGATCTACAGCGTAAAGCTGAGTTAGTTCTCCCCAGTAAGATCAGCCAATTAGAAACCAAATTGTATGGCTAACGCCAGCTATTGGGAAAGGACTTGTCATATTCCCACAGTTTGGGTGCAACTAGATTCTGTATTTGGGGTTTTTAATATCTTTTGATCCACGGAAATCGCTAGCCGCTAGCAGCCATGGTCCGGCCATCAAGGTTCCTGGCCATTCATCCGCCGTGCCGACAGCATCTCGTGAAGTCACCTGCCGTGCCCGGTGTCTGGAGGCACCTGCAAGGACCGTATCTTGGTCGGAATATGTTCACCATCCTTGTGGATCATTGTCTTTTTTGTTGATGTTCCTTTCAGCCAATTCTGGGACTGTTTTCAACCCAGAGATTTGAGCCATGGCTGAAAATTCACATGAGCCCGTACAGTAATTGGTAAATCAATGTGCATCCTAGCGCATGGTAACAATTCTAGAGTGTAAATCAATGTGCATCGTAGAGCATGGTAACAATTGTAGAGTTTACCCCAAAAATATGAGGTAAAATTGACCCTTTGTTTCCCACCTGAATCTGCTCGCGCAACAAGACTTCCAGCACATCGGCCTGGTTTAACTCGGAAAATCAGGGATAAATCGCCAAGAATACCCTATTCATCATATTCCAATAGGAAAAAGGAGGGAAAGCCATGGATCATCCTTGGATGTGCCAATATCCTAAGAAATTCTGTTACTTCACCATGAATCATGGAATGGAAAATCACCAAACATCACCATTCCACTAAGCTAAGCCATCAAAAAAATGAAAAAAATCTACTGCCATGTTTGATTCATCGAGGGTACCCCAAAAATTGAACAGGTCCGATACAACCAGCGATCAGCTTTCTGGTCTGGTTATGACTAACTTGGCTGCATTCAAAGCAATGAATGATGAATGACCCACATATATAACTCGCTACCAATCTGATTCTGACCCACCTAGGATTCCTGGGTCAGGGTCCACGTCGCCACTTCGCGCCTCACCGCGCCAATGCTGGACATCGCGGAAGATGCTCTGGGCCTCGTGAAGATGTTGTTCGCAGTCCTAGGCATGAGGTCAGCAAGACGATTTTCACCAAACCCAGGGGGATTTGACCATCAAATGCGCTGCAAATTGGGATGTAATCAATTGTGACTTAAACGTGCTCATGGCCATAAAATGACCCCAACAATCCCGGAATCGGATGCTTGGAAAATCTGCAGGACACCCTGCCATGGGTTTCAGGTGAGATTTTTTCCCAACAAAACCAGTCCATTGAACGCCCCATTCTTGGTGGTTAAGATATGTTAAGATCCCATTTTTCATAACCCCAGACTTTTGATGGTCACATCAAATAAGCCTCAATTTTTGATGGGTAAACCCCAACTTTTTGATGACATTCCATCATTTAACCAATAAAAATGGAAAAAAAAACTAACCAATGTGTATATGGGATGCAAGGGGGATAGAACCTGATTAGTCTGAGCAACAATATGATAGTTGGGCGTGTCAACAGATGCAATGGTGTATTGACCTTCCAATTATGGCCATATCCACACGGAAAATGATGATCAACGCCATCAAATTTTGGCGTATCCCAATTTTGTGAAACACCCATATACCGTCAGAGCATCACCCAACATGCCAGGAAAGGCCTCCCGATTTAGGTTCAAGCATATTTGGCCTGAGGTGGCTCCTCTATGCCACTTACACATATCTTGAACAACCCGCAAATCTCCCTGGCTTGTCTCCTCCATCTTCATCATGTCCAGCTCAATACGCGCAGTCTGGCAGGACAAGAGTTGCCACTGGGGTGCTGTCGCAGGGGCTGAATGGGAAGCAGAGCAGCCAAATTGAGCTGAAAGCGTCAAAACCTCACTGGGTTCCCAAGAAAAGAGTTGTAACTCCGAAGCCAGTCACGTCCAAGAATTTGGGCCTTCCCAATCGGGCTTGGTGATCCCCATCTGAGTTTATCTGAAAATAAGGTACTGTACCCAAAATTTGACGGCGCTGATCATATCTTCATATTTTCCCTATTATTAATTGCTAATTAAATTGACATAGATTGGTGGTGACCCTCCCATTTTCTGCCTCGTTGATTCTATATCAACTCAGAAATTATTCCTTTTCTACCCCCATATTTTTCCATATTGTCCCCAGATTGTCCCCATGAAATTCCCATTGTCGCCTCCAAAAGAAGAGTAGCTTCCTTCACCCGGTCGTCGATTCGCTTGGCAAGCTCCACGCCCTGTGTCGGCCATCTTTAAGGCTAGACGCGGCCTACTTATGGGTATGGAATATAGTTGATATTTATATAAGTATAATATTTATATATGCGTATACACAAGTGTTTTGTTTAAACTATATTTATATGTATATATAAACTCTATATTATGATATATTATATTATATCATATCATATCATATCATATCATATTATATTATATTATATAAAATAAATATATATATATATGACTATGTATATGTATGTATAGTATGTATATATATATGATTATGTATATTTATAGAAAGAAAAGATAAAAAGGCAATATTTGCATATTCTTGTGCATTGCTCCATATTTTTGGAGAGTTGTTTGATACTGTTTGTTTGTTTCCTATTCAAGGTGCCAACTTGCTTGAAAGATGGGATGGTAGAGAGGGGCGATTGTTCCAAAGCAGAACGATCAACGAAAACACTTAAGTTGCGGACAGAAGGTTTCACATAGCAGCAATAGTGGAGGGGAATGGAAATCAAAGACGAGGTGATCTGCTCCAAACATCAAGGCCCCCTTTTGCAATTCTGAAGTGAGACCAGCTCAAGAAGAGTTCCACTGATTTTTGTTGTCTCCCATATCCCAGTCATGGCCTCACGCAATGAGGCAAGAGCCTGCTACAGATGCTGCAGGTTGAGACACATTTTCGGGTGGATTATGAGAATCCCCAATATATTGGTTGATATCATCCCTGAACTAATCACCATTCAACCACCATTCATGTATCAATGATATCCAATCATGTCCCCATATTTTCATGCCTAAACCATGTTGAACCCCCTTTTTTTTTGAAAAAAATAAAAAAACACCCACAATTTATCAATCAACAGTGCTTTTTCAGCCAGTTGGGACCCAGGGCCGCGACCTCGTTGCGTTTGCACATGGAGTTCTCGGCTTTCGCTTTGACGCGTAGCGACTCGACCTCCCCACCGAGATCCTTCAGCACCTCGGACCATCGAGGCGGTCGTCTTCTAGGGCGCCCTCGGAATTACATATCCATTAGATGTAATTGACATATATTATAAACAAAACAAAATATTTTACATTATATATACTATATACAATATACAATATATATTATCCTGATTTCTAATATTATATATATGAAATTACATGCCATTTATTGTCTAGTGTATATTACATGTAATTTGATACATATTAACATATATATATATACATATATATGTTGAGTATTATATATTAGATATGTATATATATATTAAACATTAAATGGTATATAACTAAAATATAGAATATACATTACAGTAAATATTTTATATTTTATTACATGGTATATATATTGTATATGATATGTTATTGACTAAAAGACAAATTATATTTACAAAAAAAAAGAAAAATAGTAACTATAATTTGCTATAAGCTAAATCTTATGCGTCAAAAATTAATTTGCATATTTTACGTTATATATGAAATATTAAATATTAAATATTAAATATTACATATCATATTTTTATATGCTATGTTTAAAAAGTTAAATGTTCTATAGAATTTTTGATTTGTTATATATTATAGGTTTTTATGTTTAATGTTGTATGCTACATATATATATATACATATTTCCACATCAAATGTTAAATTTTAATTTTTTTAAATTACATGGTGCATATTAAATATCATTTTTTAACATGAAGTTTATATATAAACCAATTATGTATAATTTATATATATATGTATACTTTTTTGTATTATATATTAAATATGAACTTGTTTACATTAAACAATTATGTATAATATCTGTTGTATAGAATATATATATATATATATTGTATATTTTCGATATATTATATTAAACATTAAAAAATATAATTTCAAATCCTATCAGATATGTTTTACAAATTATAAATTAGATATGGTATGCTACATTCTATATACTATATAAAAAAAACAATTATTTATTGAATGTTATATTTTATACGTTTTATAAAAAAGAAAAATCTTGAATATTGAATAGTGTGTTGAAACTATTATACTGTAAAGAAGAAATATGTAAAAATGAATATGATATATTATATGTTACATGTTATATGTTATTAATTTAAAAACTATTTTACATTATATATATATATATTATGTATAATATTTAAAACACTATATTCTATATATTTTATGTATTATTTTGTTTTAAATTTAAATATATATATTTTACTTTAAAAATCATTTTAGATATTATATATTAAATATGTTATGTATGTTCAAATTATATAAGGTGTTTTATCATATTTTTGATATATTTGGATTTAAATATTATTTAGCTCTTGAACAAAATATTCATATATCTTTAAACATTAATTAAAAATATATACTGCATTATATTCATTTTTTATATTATATATATTATTAAACAGATTGTTTTTCAGATATTATATTACATATTATTTATTACAAATATATACATATTAAATATTTGCACTTAAATCTATATTACCAATCTTTGTATTACTAAGCCTGGGAAATTGAACTATTATATGCATAATCCGTGGAATCCCTTTAGGTATTGTTGATGGAGGATGTCACTTGGATCCTGAGAGCCTAGTGCAGTGTTCTGGAGCAATGGTCAAAAACACTTGAGAATTCCACCAATGGTTTGGCAAATGTGGATTTAACATGTCCATAACAAGAAAACTGTGGTAGATACCGGACCTGAACATAAACGTTAGTGCCATCAAAGTAACCATGACTGGAGGTGTTGGCCACGGCTCATATGACTTGCACAACCCGCCACCGGCAATGGTAATAAGTGGTGAATGGTTGTCGGTATGACAAGATGTCTGAAAAAAGGCACATGGACCCATCAGCCATCTTATAAGCGCCGGAACAGTGTAGATTGTTAACTTTGGCACTGCAAAACATTTGAAAACATGTTCTCCTTGTTGTTGCCGAGAGACGTGATGTCTCTCGCGAGCTTCTTTCACAAGAGTTAACGCCTCTTTCTGCTCGTCGTTTTCAACGTTCGCCTGCAGCTCAGGCATACAACATCACTCCGAGAGCTGGAAGACACCACCACCCTCCAGTATTGAATGTGTGTAGCCCCTTGAAAAACCCACCAACAGAGGTTGTGGCTGTTTCCCTATTCAAACCCTATTAATATCTATTAATGGTTAAAGCCCCAGTTTCATGGTTAAAGCCCTTATGAAAAGACCTATTCTTCATGGTTGTTTCCCAATCAACTGATGTATTTTCCCGATTTTTCCCGCTCGCCTCGGCCAGTAAGACCAGGGTTTTGGCCATGGCTTGGGAGTCCCCCAGGCGCTTGCAGAGCTGCTGGGCTTCCTGAACCAAAGCTGAAGGTAGATGTGTTGTACATAACATACAATGTTATACTATACTAATATGTACATCTATATATCTATCCATCGATCGATCTATCGATCTTATCTTATTGTATCTTATCGTAGAATATCGAATCATATCGTATCCTATCGTATCGTATCTCTTCTTATCTTATCGTATCGTATCGTATCGTATCCTATCTATCTATCTATCTATCTATCGATCTATCTATCCATTTACCTATGTATCTATCTACAGTGGTAGTCACAATTTTGAAACGGAATTAGGAGTACACAAGTACGGGGTTTGACTGTACTTTTGTACTCCTCGTTGACGCGATTCCGCGCGAATTCGGATGCCTGTTCTATAATTAATCTCGCCGTTCTAGCATTCTGGCACTGACTGCAGATTGTGTCAATTGAAGGGTACATACATACATTTACATCATTTTATCTTGCCGGCACCCCGGAAAAACATAGAACGCAGAATTATGGCACACTTGATTATGGGACGTGCGGTTGTGGGGCAGCCTTGGTGGGGGTGGGAGATGTGGGGGGGGCACAGCAATAATTGTAGAACAACAAAAAATATGAGTAAGTTGGGCATTTCAGAGGAACCAGGAATTGTGGAACCAGAGGGTACAATATTTAACGGTACTTTCGTACTCCTCAACTTCAGTTCTTTAATTGTGAGTATCACCATATCTCTCGACCGGTCTACCGATTGATTTATCTATTGGTCTTGCCTTATCTCATCTTATCTTATCTAGCACTCGATCTACCTATCTGTCCATCTATCGTTCGTTCTATCGATGTATCTATCGACCTTACCTAATCTTACCTTACCTTATCTTATCTGGTCTATCTATCTACCTACCTATCTCTCCCTCTCTATCTGTCTGTCGATCTACCTATCGATTGATCTTCTCTTTTCTTATCCCATTTTATAAATTGGTCTATCTATCTACCTACCTACCTATCTACCTACGCATCATCTAACTAGCTGTCGATCGACTTATCTTATCTGATCGTATCATCGTATCTTATCTTATCTTATTTTACCTTATCAACCTCCCTATCTATCAATCTATCAGTCTATCTACCTGTCTGTCTATCTATCGATCTTATCTTATCTTCTCTTCTCTTTTCTTATCTACCTACAAAACTACCTATCTATCAATCTATCTACCTATCTATCTAGCTATCTATCTATCTAGCTATCTATCTATCTATTTATCGATCTATCTACCTGTCTAAGGATCTATCGATCTATCTTTCTACCGGTCTATCTATCGATCGTATCTAACATTTCTTTCTTATCCTATCTATCTTCCTTCCTATCTATCCATCCATTGATCTATCATTCTATCTATCTATCGATCTATCTATCGCCCGTTCTTCTCTGATCTGACCTTACCTTATCTTATCTTGTCTTACCATACCTTTATCTACCTACGTATCTACGTATCTATCTATCTATCTATCTATCTATCTATCTATCTATCTATCTGTCTATCTATCTATCTATCTATCTATCTATCTATCTATCTATCGAGCTATCCATCTATCGATCGGTGTATCTGCCGATCCATCTATCGGTCTTATCTGGTCTGGTCGTATCTTATCTCATATTGTCTTCTCCTATCTTGCCTTATCCTGTATTGTATTATCTATCTGCCTTGTCTATCTACCTATCTTGTCTTATCTTACCTTTGCTTTGCTTATCTTATCATATTTATCTACCTATCTATCTATCTATCTGTCTATCTATCTATCTATCTGATCTGATCTGATCTTGTCTTATCGTGTCTTCTCTGGTCTTATCTGGTCTTATCTTGTCTTGTCTTGCTTTCTTGTATTATCTATCTGTCTATCGATCCGTCTGTCTGTCTATCTGTTGTCTGTCTATGTATCGATGTATCTTTGTATCTATCTATCTATCTATCTATCTATCTGTCTGTCTGCCTGTCTATCTACCTATCTATCGACCTATCTATCTAATACATGTTCATATACACATGTCTATATATACATGTTTTTCGTCATATTTTGAGGTATGAATAAATAGTTACATATATATATATACATGTAAGGTATGTATATAGGTGGCTTTTGTATAGGCTCTAAATGTATATATGTTATGTCTATATTATATATATATGCTTTCTGTAAACATATTGGCTATATATTAAATATACAACATATATAAATATATTTGTTATATATATGTTAAATAGATATATGTTATATACATATATATGTGTGTGTGTGGTTTGTATATATTTATATATATATATCATATATATACAGGTTTTATATACATATAGGTTTTATATACAAAAGGTTTATATATATATGTTATGTATATGTTATTTATATGTTATTTATATGTTATTTATATGTTATTGATTTATATGTTATTTATTTATATGTTGTTTATTTAATATGTTATTTATAAATGTTATATATAGTGGTTTTAAATATGTATATATATGTTATGTAATGTAGGTGTATACATACAACATATTTATAGGATTTTAATAGGATATATATTTAAGGTATATATTATATATATATTATGTGTATATATATATATATATGAGCACCTATGTAGTAAATGTGCACGACATAATTTTCTTAGTCCAACGGTGGGTCAGCAGTCCTTGGCACTGCGCAGGGCATCCAAAGGACGCTCTCGGGCCAAGTGGATGGAGGCCACTGTGAGCATGGAAGTCACCTGCCGCTTTTAAATGGTTCATGATGGTTAATAATGGTTAGTAATGGTTCGTAATAGTTAATAATGATTAGTAATGGTTAATGGTTGGTAATGACTCATACTGGCTAATATGTTAATAATGGTTAAAGCTATTATAATTATGGTTAATACTTAGCTAATTTCAAGAGCAATGCTCTATTGGCATTTTTGGAGGTAGGACGATATGCCAAATGATAGGTACGGGACGGTTGGTACGGGTTTGGGTGCGGGTACGGGTGCGGGTACGGTACAGGTACGGTACGGGTACGGTACATGGGTACGAAAACCGTACCCATGTATCGTACCCATGTACCGTACCGACCGTACCCATGTATCGTACCCGTACCGTACCCATACCGTACCTGTACTGTACCCGCACCCGTACCCGCGCCCAAACCCGTACCAACCGTCCCGTACCTGTCTAAACCCCGTAGCAAGACCCCCTCCGCACCCTACGGCATAAACCCAATAGAAAACATGGTTTTCATTGCTCTTGAAATTAGCTAAGATAATACTTGTTCTTAATGGTTAATAATGACTAATACCGGCTAATATCATGGATATTTTGATTAGTACTATACCATCATACTGTGGATGGATGGAATGTATGGAGCTTTCGATAGTCATGGGGGTACCCCCAAATGGATGGTTTACAATTGGATATTCCATTAAATGGATGATTTGGGGTACCCCCATGGATTGGAAGCCTCCATATGGATTCGTGGGAATTTAAGCAAGTTGATTTGGGGATTGACATGCCGTAACCTACCAAAAAAGTGGCAATTACGCGCTTTATTTAGGATTTACAGGGTATCTCATGGCCATACAACCATCCAAGAGTGGTGATTTAACAGTATTTTGCCAACATACATGCTGGAAGATGGGTGCAAATAATAAATGTCTTGGCATGTCTTAACCCTTCCCCAATATTAGTCTGTGGATCATCATTCCATGTTCGTGATCTCAAATCAAACACATGGCCTGCAGTTAAAGAAAGGACAGCACTCAATCGATTCTCTAGTGTTTCGGCCAAATGTCTCATGTCACTCATTTGCATGTTCAGCACATTGGATTTGCCAAGTCAGAAATGATTCCCGGCTCAAACCCAACATTGGAAACCGCAACCAGCCACGATTGGCACCAGTATGAAGTGGGCCCCCCACAGCCTGCTGTTTGTAGTCAGATGACTGCCTGAAAATGGTCAAAGACTTTCTCGCCTCGTGGCTATTGCGTGGCACCGAGAAATCACCTTTTGCATCACCTTTTCATGGGCATCTGAATCCCACACAATCGATGGCCTGACTGATTCAAAAATAAAAGTAGACTGCATGTGTTGGAGCATTCCAAAGAATCAAGTGCTGGTTGGTGGTTTGAATCTCCAAAATATCGGCCGATGAGGCTACTCATGCTCTGAAACCACCAACCAGGGTGCCCTTACGAAGTCGAATCAGCTACCGTCGACATGTTTGAGCTTCTTACGGCATCAATAGCCTCTTTGATGTCCTGGCTCTGGCAATAGGCCTGAGGCACACATGGTCTCTGTGCATTCTGCGCGCGTTTGTAAGTATGCGCATATGCTCACATATGCATATCTGCATATTCAGAACCACATGAATGTGACCCATAAAATTGAACCTGTAGGTGCACAATCATAGTCCTACGAACACATATTTATATATAAATATATAATATGCTTGTGTGTGTGTACAAATACACTACATTTCTAGATATATGATATATGTTATATGTATATGTATATCAATATGTATATTCATAGATACATTATGCATACATACGTATACATAAACTGTATAGGCATCTGGCACAAGCCACTGCTGCAAAACGACGGCGGGCTAGTACATAGTGGACTGGCCCACTGCGCATTGTCAGTTTTTCCATATTCATCATTTTCCATTACATGGCACATGCTGTGGGCCCGTGGGGTTCCCCCAGAATAGATTTTTTTCCTATATCCCGGCATTTTTCTACTAAGGATACACTTGCTACTGAGGCCATTCGCCGCCATGGAAGAGGGGCGCCTACTAAGGAAGAGCAAAGACCAGATCTCACCCTCACAAAGGAAGAATTAGAAATGGTGATGAAAGCACGACAGCTCATGGTCGTGTTGCGGTAAAATTTATGGCAATTGTCGATGAAGGCGTTGAGATTTGGGAGGAAAGTGTCCTGATGATATTGCATTGTCGCTTCCTTGATTTTCTCTTCGCTCGTTGCCAGAATGGGCACTTCAGTGATGCTGTTAAAAGGCCGTTTTTGAGGTCTAGCTTCTCCATTTTCCCAGAATCTGTGTTGAACTGCTGAACTTCTGCAGCTGTGAGGTTGAGATCAAGAAATCTTTGCCAGCTTGCGCATCTGTTTTCAATGTTTGTTGGAACTGAGGATCCAGGTCTCCGAATTCGATATCCTTCGCAGCAAGGGTCACCAATCCGGCTCTTCACTTTTGGATCGCTTGGGCGATGGCTCGGCAGCTCTCGCCTGTGGACAGTCGTCTCAAAACGCTTGAGGCCAGATTTGGCAACAAATCCTCCTTATCAAGGGCTTGCCAGCCCATGGGTACAACAAAACTGAGTTGGGACGGCTATTTCCAGAAATCGGGAGTTTCGTGGGAGTGCTTGGCTGCCATGCATACACATACTTTGACAACGGACAGCTCCGTCATGTGCTTGGAATTTACCACTGAGATTGCGAGAAATGAGTTTTTCCAGCACACGAGAAATACCAAGAATGTTTGGCTCATACATGGCAAAGAATACGGAAAGGCAAAGGTGGAGAATGATATTCCGACCAGCGAGAGATTGGCGCTGCAGCCGTATTACACTTTGCTCGATTTGCTCCAGGACATACTACCAGCAGACATGAAAGGAAGCAACGGAGAGCTCCAGTCAGACAGGGCGACTCTGCAAACACGGCCGGACAAAAATGCCAGTACTCAACAACTGTCAGCGCAGGTAACATACCTACTGGACAACAGGTTCCCGAGACATTATGTATGCGTCCTGTTCATTGTGGAGAACTACCTTGAAGACATCCAGCAGGCATGGTCTGACGCTTTCACTCATCGAATGCAACACACTTTGGAGCTTATTCAAGCCCTCTCAAAATCCGCTGTTGACAAGACTACGAGAGCAAGGCACAATTTTGACAAGGCTCTTGACATATACAACATTCGATTTCCGCATCAGCAGTTTCCATTTCCGATTATTTTCATCCGTATGGCCCCATCACTGGCAAAGCTCTTGAGTGATCATCCATCGCTACCACTTCAAATAGCGACAGGATTCCTGCCCATTGTTTCCAGCGTCCTCATGAAGTACCGGGTCGACGCCAGCGACTATGGCAAGGGTGGCAAGTTCAAAGGGAAACTCAACAAGAAAGGCTCGGGGGGCTATCACTCTACCCACCCAAATGTCAACTTCTTTTGCTTAACACTACCCTTCCTATATCCCTTTCCAAGACAGTCACCGCAACTGACCCATGTTTGTGCGAGTCTTGTGCCCCCTTTCTAGATCTACCCATCCAGTCTGACTCCCTAGCACCCCCTGTCCCCCACATGGACACAGCTAAATATCTAGGGGCATTTATTTCCTCCAATTCCTCCAGCACGGCCGATGTAAACTTTTGGTGCTCCCAGGCTTCAACAGCGTTCCACGCTCTCTCACCCTGTTTCGACACCCGCTGATTCATCCCAAGAAAAAGTTCCAGGTTTATTCGCAAATTGTTCAAGCAATTCCTCTTCATGGAGCTGAGTCCCAAGTTTATTCACCGGCTCAAGTTACCAAAATCAACTCACTGCACTATAGAGCTCTCCGACAGATCCTGCAAGTTAAAAGCCCGTTCTATCACAGAGTTTTAAGCCCAAGTGAAGCACCCTGCTCTAACGAACATTTGATAGCCTGAGCTTACGCTAACCATCCTTCACTTTTTCCTCCATCCCTTCGGATATCGAACACCAGACTGAAATATCTAGGACATATCCTCCGCCATCCTTCGAACACCAGATCTGCTTTAATCCCTCCTATTCTCTCCGCACTATTTCGTCCCCTTATAGAAAAGGAGCACCAAGAGCGAGCTGGCCTGAATTGGCCCTGGCGGAAGCATCTAACAAAGTCCAAATGATTACACGCCACGATCGTACAATACTACTCCCCACATTCGTAGAATACTCCTGGTGGCACAGGATCGTGAATTATGGAAGAACTTTGCACTAAATGATTGTTCCAACCTGTCGCTGTGCGTTTTTTGCTGCTGTCATGTTGCTCGAAGTGTTTATGAGCGACATTGCGCCCGCGAAAAAAAATACATAAACTGTACACTGTATACATACTGTATACAATTGACACACTATTGATCTATATATATATATTGTATAATGTACATTAATGTACAAGAATATACGTGATTCAAAATATCTGCGCGCGCACACACACACACCCTTCGCACACAGGCCGAACCGCCTTCGCAAGGCATTGAAGCGACAAAGCCTCTCCTCGCATATCACCAACCTGCAGGAATCTTTGATGACATGGGTCTTTCGCATGCTGTCAGTATTCTCCTGATTGAGGAAACGCTGAATAGTTTTTGCAAAGGCAGGTTACGCCTTCCAGGGAACTACCAAATTCATCCAAATTCCCAAGAGGAGGTTTCCTAAGTCATGGAGGTACCATGAACTTCAAATCATCCAAGTCAACGACCATGAATTAGCATTGAATCCCATGGTGACTTCGGGATCCACCATTTTAAGAAACCCCCAAGCGTAACCAGCATAACCACCTCTTCGGCAAGCTCTAAGGCACGTTGGGAAGTCCTCAGCGTGAGGCTTTCGGTAGGTGGAGGCCACGTCGGATGGTGGTTTTAATGTGGTAAACCCAATGGGAAATATTGAAATAGTGGGACAATTCTTGAGATGATTACAGATTGGGATGATGATTGGGATGATTATTGTGACGGTCAGTTGATTATGCATACGGGTTGAAAACCGAACCTGCGTTTTGTGCGTCTTTTGTTGGGGTGGGATGAGGTAGGGTGGGTGGGCTAATAACATTCATTTGCACCTGCGCACATGCATCACGCTACCCTACAGTAGGTTCTCTTGCACTTGCACACATGCGTCGCGCTACGCTATTCTCTTGCACTTGCACGCATGCGTCACGTTACGCTGCTGCAGGTTCTCTTGCACTTGCACACATGCGTCGCGCTACGCTAGGCTCTTGCACTTGCACGCATGCGTCACGTTACGCTGCAGATTCTCTTGCACTTGCACACATGCGTCGCGCTACGCTAGGCTCTTGCACTTGCACGCATGCGTCACGTTACGCTGCTGCAGGTTCTCTTGCACTTGCACAAAAAAGAATAATCCGGATTGAATGACTTGATTTGGAGATATGTTCGCACATGGCAATGGTGCTGGGAAGCAAATGTTGTTGGATCTGTCGTTTAAAATAATCAGGAGTCTACATTGCCAGGATCTGAACTTCACCAGCAAAACGCGCTGGCGTTGTGGTTTCGGGCACGAGGGCTGGCGAAAAGGGTCATTTCTTGATATGCAGTTTATTCAGAATATGCAGTAGTTACCACATAAAATTGCAAAACACCCTGTAATTGAACCACATAGGCACGAATAAACACTGTAAAAAGAATTGGGTGGTCTATACTAGTCTATACCATCCCCAAATTCAAGCTTGCATTAACCATGAAAATCCGATGGCAGAAAGGCTTGTTTCACAATATTTCAGGGCTTTATCTGGAGCTCCAGAGCTCCAATCGGGTTTTGTCTGAAAATATGGTATCCCATGGTATCCCCACTTTCATTCACTGCCACACTAGGCCACTGGCTGCAGGGCCTCTGGAGTATCGCATTTCGCAAGAAGAGCCTTGCCAAAAATAGGCTGCAAAAATGGCTTTTCCATGTACAGTAAGTACCCCTAGTGGATTGTCAAAAGGTGTGTCTTTTATGATTTTGATGATTCAGATGAGATGATGATTTGGAGGATTTTGATGATGTGGATTATTTTTTGGGTCCCCAAGAGATTCGAGAATCCATGTGTTCCAGGCTAGCCGAGGCCGCAACCCTTGCCATGACGAGATGAGCTGAAACCTCCTTCTCGGTCAGTTGTGAAGCCTTCGGCTGGTTAGGCAGCTTTCCAGGACCAAGAAAATGATGATTCCAATCATCCAAAAGGAATGTAAATCAACATAAACATACAAAAACCGATATAAATCGATATAGATGGATAAAAATCGATATAAATCACGACGTTTTTGAGTCTGGAGAGTAAAGACTCGAGTGGGGTCACCTGAGGGGAGAACTATGGAGAACTATATGGGGGTATCCCAATAGCTGGATGGTTTATTTCATGGAAAATCCTACTGAAATCCATGATTTGGGGGTACCATTTCGGGAACCTCCGTGTATCCTTTTCTAATTGTGGGCATCTTAAAATTACATCTATCACCATCAGGATTCACAGCTGACTAGCTGTAACATTCTCAACAGTAACATTCACTGCCTATTTGCAATTCCGGTACGGGACACCATCCGACCCATGCCTAACCCCATAATTTTCGGATGGATCCTACAGATCTTTGTAGCCTTGAACTCCTCCTGAGCTTCCATTGCCCAGCGGAGTGCTTCCTCAGCACCAGCTATGGAGAGACTGAATATTTTTCTGGTGGAAGGAGAGATTGTTGTTGAAGCAAAATTCAGACAGACCCATGCGCAGTCCTCACCTCATACAAGTATCTGTATCCTAAAATTCCAAGAAATGGCAGCAGAGTCCAAGAATAAGTCTACCTTACCTCGTGCTCCCGTTGCAGTTTTCAAGACATCTTTAAATTCAAGACACCTGTAGCCGGTTCTTTTCGAGATAGACAGTCGCTTGCGCCAACTTCATGGTTGCCTAGCTGAACTTTCCGAGGCGGACCAGTTGCTCCCTTGAACCATCTAAGAAACGACTCAAGGTCAGAAACGTATAGGTTGTCTACATGCCGCGATGCATTTTGGAAGCTACAAAAGGAAGGGTCTCCATTTGTTATGTCCCAGGTTTTTATTCGTCGGGAAAATACTTCGAAGAAAATCGTCCCAGGGAGTCTTCCAGAATCTTCCAGAGGCGTCAGGAAGTGAAGTTCTGGCTGCTGCAGTGCTGATCTAAAAGTGTTTCAAGTTACTACAAGGTGGTGCCCCCCAGTTAGGTTTATAAACCCCATTAACTATAGATATATCTACCATAAACCATAGTTATTGGACTTATAAACCAACTTAGCTAACTATGAGGCACCACCTTGTAGGGGATGGATGGCTGGTGGCACCTCTCCACAGCGATCTCCACACTTCCTGTAGTTCTCCATCTCCCGCTGAGCATTGGCCAAGGCCTTCTCCTGCAGGTCCGTTTGTCGCACGACCTGAATCGAAAATCGTTGGAGCATTGTTGGAGCAACCTCCAAAAAGATCGACATGGACAAAATCCTAAATAGATTCAAATAGTGGTATACTTTATACCCCACTTAAAAGTGATTTGCACCCCTCGCATTATCAGCTGTCACAGCACGGCCAATCTAAGTCATGTCCTCGCCCTCTTTGACAGACACTGCAGCTATCACCGCCTGGGAAAAAAAAACAATAACATTTGGGTCAGGATGGTCAAGTATCCGGGATCCCCATGTTTGTCTGAAATCATGTTAGCTAATTTCTGTCTAAAACCCTACATTCTCTGTGTTGTTAGACGCTTAGACTCTTAGTCTTAACCCAGAAGCTGAAGCAAGAAAACGAGAACATCATGTGTGACCTGGTAAAGTTTTCTCACCAGAATCACATCATCCACTGTTTTTTGGATATTTAAATTCAAACTAAACATTCCAAAAAAATGTGCCCCGGCAAGAGACCCAAAACAGTGTGGGGGGTAGGAGATCAAGGTAAGAGATACAAGATGATACAAGCAACAGCAGCTACAGAAACAGTAACAGGTCAGGTTAGACGTTATCGGAACTGCATGGAACGGCAGCAGCAAGAACTTGTTTTGTCACAAGAAGCAACGCTATGTCTACTGATCGGATAATCAAAGAAGGACCTTCTAGAGGATCTTACGGACATGGCGCGCAGGTAAAAGTAGACCTTCAGATATGAGCCAAGTGGTACCCACGTTTTGCACAAGCCTGCGCAGTCGAAATGCACATGGACATCTCACAAGGAAACTTTTGCGCGAGCCGGCGCGTTCAAACGCGCAGACCAGAACGCGAACACTAAACGAACCCGGGCTTTACACTTACCATAAGAACCCCTCAGTGTGGACACATTTGGGGAAAAATTCGCCAAATCATCAGACCCCGTGACTTGGCCTTCAGTGCATCCGCCGCGCTCTGTTCGTCTCCCAACTCCTTGTAGATCAGCATCGCCTGAGCGCCGAGCAGTTCCGCAGTGCAGCTTTCGGCCGTGGGGTCCCAAAAGAAACTCACTGGAACAAGTCCCTGTAACAGGTTTTAAAAACATCAAAAAAACCAACCATCCGATACCATCCGATCCCAATCAAATCACATCTCCAACACCAAAGCTTTGCCAGATCCAGATCCCCTTCCCGTCTTTTGCACCTTGGTAGCTGCACTCAGCACCTCCGTAAAGTCTTAGCTGTCAATTTTGATCCACCAAAGGAAAGGGATCTCTTTCAGGTAAGAATGCGTAGACCGTGGGTATGTCTAAAAAAGGGGTGTACCCTAGTGACTTCCATGGGATATGGGGAAAAATATGGAAAAATGATGATAAAGTCCATTCAATGCGGGGAGTAGCCTATTTTCAAATCCGGCCCAAAGGCTGCCACTTTCTGACGAATTTTCGGTCGCACCTCCTGACAAGTCTCGGAGGTGAGACTTTCCTGGCACAGACTACACGCATCCCCCGAATCTCGTAGAAAACGGCGGCACGGCGCTAATTGAAAACACAACTCTTTCGAAAAGCACCTGGTCCGGCATGGGAGATCATGGCAGGCATGTTATACTGTCGGAATACGTTGGAATGAAAAATGAATCTTAGGAATTCTTACGAATTCTCAGTTCGTCCGGGAGTTCCAACATTACAATTTCCAATGCCCAACACCTCTGCATACCGGAGCTGAAGCAATGCATCTCGACGCTTCTCCTGCGGTGTCAAATATGTGGTGGTGTTATTTATGTGTGTATATATATAATATAATAAATAAATAAATGAAAAGATAAATATATTTAATTATATATGTATGATCAAGTATATATTGTGATATTGAATGTTGAGAGTTGAGAGTTTCTTTTGGTTTGGTTTACCGCTTATATACCACAGGAGTAGAGCCCGGGCAAGCCGGGCCGCGGTAGTTTCCAAGAGGTAGGACACCTGGAAAAGAAAAGGGAGAGCCTGCAGGAACGAAATTTGACCTCTGTGTCAACTTTCTTGGCATCTCTTTCCCGTGAAATCTGTTTTTCTTCTGGAAACCCTTTCTCTTGACATCCCATAATCTTGTCAACTCTTTCGGACGCCACCGCTTTCTACGTACGCTTCTTTCCTTGACATCTCTTTCTCTTGTCAACCTTTTCTGGTGTCACCACTTTCTCTTGACACAGCGTTTCTTGAACATCTCTTTCTGTTGGCATCCCTTTCTCTCGACATCTTTTCTTCTTGAAATCCCTTTCTCGTGCCATCTTTCTCTTGAAATCTCTTTCTCTTGACAGCTCTTCTCTTGACCCACTTTTCCCTTGAAATCGTTCTCTTAACATCCCTTTTTCTTGACATCTCTTGGTCGTGAGATCTCTTTCTCTGGAAACATGTTTCTCTCGACATCTCTTTCTCTTTGCAACTCTTTCCTTCGGCATCTCGTTGTCATGGAATCGCTTTGTCTGGATACCTCTTTCTCGTGACAGCTCCTTTTTCTTGATGCCTCTTTCTCTTGGTATCTCTTTCTCTTGACGTCCCTTTCTCTCAGCCAGCAGCTCGTTCTCGCGGCATCCTTGTCTTATCTATTATCTTGCCATCTCCTTTTTGTGAAATGTCGTTCTCTTGATATCTCTTTCTCTTGACATCTCTTGTTCTTCGCAAATTCTCAGAATTGCTTTGACATCTCAAAAGCAAATCAAACCGCACCTTGACAGGACACCGCAATTCGACTGCGATGAGCAACCATTGGATTCCAAAACACAAACCCAGCAGCACGCAATCACAAGTCAAAAATAGTCACAAGTGATCTTGGCTCAGCAAGTCGGATCCGCTGGGTAACCACTGGATTGCAAAACACGCGAGCACCAGCGCAAAGAGACACATCCAAGGCCATCCTGGCACAACTCAAAGGCGCACGTCAAAAGTTTCCTTGGCGCAGCAATCCAACTGCGCAGAGCAACACTGGATTGCAAATCACAGTGAAGCTGCATGTGCAAGCGCAGCAAAGGAACATGGACGCGGCCATTGCAATGTGATCTACAAATCTACAAACCTTGCTGACAAAACACAGTGGCAGCGCTGTCCTAAGTCCTAACCCTCACAAAAGTCACCTTGACACAGCAGTACTGGTGCAATCACTGGATCGCAAATCAAAGTGGCTCTGTGGCTCTTGTCTAATTTTCTACTCTCTGCTTAACTCTGCTTAAGTCTGCTTCTCTACTAACTTTTTGTACTCTCACTTCTCTACTCTTCGCATTTCTCTACTCATAGACTCTACTCTTCACACTTCTCAACTCTTCATACTACTCTTCACTTCTCTACTATTGTCAGTGTTCTACTCGTCACTTCTGTACTAGTACTCTCTTCACTCCTCTACTCCCTTCTCTATTTCATCCCCGCTACTTCACATGTTCGATATCTCAAAAGTTTCTCTTCAAACTTCCTTGGCTTTGAATCGTTTAACTCAAGATCTGCATGCTGACACACACTGCTTCCAGCTCAGAGTCGACTGAGCGCCAATATCCAGTCTCGTTTGTCACACCGGGCATCTGCAGAATGCAGCTTTCTTGAAGCTCAAAATGAAACAGTTTGAAATGCTGGAGAAAAGAAAAGAAAAGCGCTGCCACGTGTGACATGTCATGACATGTCCAACAACTAGTTTGGACCCAAATCCCGTCCTGTTCTTCAGAGTTCCGAACTCCCATGGCTTCGGAACAAGGCTGTGGCGCGGTTTCTCCCAATCGGCGGCTCACCTGTGGATCCTGGGTCCTGTAGCAGCTGTAGCATGAGTATCTGATCTATCAGATTCTATCAGATTCTATCACATTCCTCTGATACTCTGCTACATTCCATCAAGTATCCTCTGATATTTCTTGGAGCACAGCTTCGAACTCTGCTTCGCAGGCCAGGTAGTTCCTCTGGGCTTTATATGTTGGCACTGAAAAATCCACCGGTGCCAAGGGGAAATTGTAAAATCAGGCTCCATGCAGCCCCCTTGCTTTCCCAAAACTGAGCCGGGAGGCGAACTGGGCGGAGCAAAGTTCAGACGCCGGGCTGACGAGGTGATACCGAAAGGATCCAAAACAGAGTTACCTTTGTTGCTATAAGTTGATATAAGTTGCTATCCATGCGGTCTGGAAGAACTTCAAGATAGCCGTCTCGCCTCTGAAATCTTGCTGTCGATCTCAACATGCTGATGATCCACAACCTACGCAGTGCTGCTCACAGTAATATGCTTCGAATATTGACCACCCCCTTAGAAACCCTGGTTTAGTAATGTTTAGTACAGTACTGGATCTATATGATCTATTCATTTTGGGGATGATATGGGTATGGATCAATACCTATTAATACCATTTTTAGGGGGTTATTCACATCCATTTACCAGCTATTTTGATGTGAACTACAGGGGTACAGGGTTTTGACCCATCCCCATATGATGTATTTGATACTGCATGGGAACAGGTTTTTCATCTCCACTAACCGCTTCAAGGTGCTAGGCCTTGTAGGCTTTGGGCCCATCGGTGAATTCCAAGTTCAGGACCTGAGAAAGTCCAGCATTTCGCTGCAGGGATTGGTCTGAAATTTGGTACCAAAATAGCCTGACATGGATACTGTTTTGGGATCCCCCAATGGTGTTTTATATTGTTTTCTTCTCGAAGAGAAAGGAACGGGGTGAGCACTTGGAAGCTGCAAAGCATCACCTGCTATCTTCTGAAAATCGAGAGCCATTCAGTCGTCATTTTCTTAGAGAAGTCACAAAAAATATGCAGGCCGGCCCAATCTGCATCGCCAATGAATAGCCGGCCTGCTATGGTCACGATCTATTGCAGAGTTTCTGAGTTTCTCGCTGTGATGTCTCGAAAGTCTGTTCCACTTTTCAAGACCTTAGACCAATTGGAAATCAAAAACAAAGACATCGATCCAAGGCTTTCATGGCCCAAGCTCCGGACAAAGGTTCCATGAGGGCCCACCTCAGCACTCGAACAGAGTTAGTTTGCCATTTGAGGTGACCCACGGTGATCCGTAAAATCAGGTACCCAAACTTACTTGAAAACTTATGTTTCACCACAAATACCCGTCAAATGACCAAAATGGAAGGTTTCCAGGGTTTCAGTCACGGCCCAGAAAATCACCGAAAAAACCACGATTTTTTGTTCCTGCTTCATTCAAGGGGATCAAAGATTTGGCCAGGAGTTTCCATGGTTTTTTTTTCATGGTTTTTCACCCCTCATTTTCCATCATTTTCCCATGAAAAAACACGGCTCCACCGGGTTTCCAAACCGGTTTCACGTCGTAGTGATGATCATGGCCCGCCAAAATCACGTCCACCTCAGACACTTCGTTGGCCAGCAACTCGTCGTTCGGCACACGCCTTGGTGCAAGCAACGGAACTGAAGGGATGAGATACCCCAGATCTTAGCAAATATATGTATATTTTATTTATATAAATATATACATACTAGATTATGTATATCTAAAAATCATGTGTATGTGTATATATATATATAAATATATATATATATAGATAGAGAGAGAGAGAGAGGAAAACCCATACAAATGTATATATATATTATATAGATATGTATACAAACCCAAATGTTTCGCAAAAACATGGTGAAATTGTTGTTTCAATCAAATACTGTATATGTTTTTAATATCCACTCATTCAACTTTGCTGTTGCACCACCTGAACGGCATACCTAAACCAAACCTTTGGATACCTCAAGCGCAGTCATCCGAAAATGTCTACTGTATCCTTTTCAAATTTGCAATCCCTGTCAGGTCAAGCTATGTTTTCCACTGTTTGTGTCAGTATGTACCTTTGTAGATTCCAACAAAATCGGAGTTTGGGCTGCACGCATGTGCGTCAGAGCAATGACGATCTCAGCACCTAAGGAACTGGGACGTCCCAATCTCAGCATGGGTGGAAAAGTCGGTTGGTCTCAAAAAGGTGACCCATTCAGTGGCCATGACTGGAGGTAGACAACCCATTTTCAAACAAAATAAGCCCAAAGAGTATCCCCAACAGCCAGAAACAAAAACAGTTGCCAAACACGCAATGAGTGAAGTATGTTTATTGCCCCGCCCTTCTTACTCTAGAGGTCGGGCGTGCGAGGCGCAATCACAGGACAAACACTTTATGAAAAAACGTTGTTCCAAAGGCGTTTGCAATACTGTGGCCAATATTCCCGAAGCTCGTGCGAATGGTTTTTTCCCAAAGAGCTGCTGTCCGCCTCACTCTTCACTTCATCTACCTAACATACATCATCCACATCTCTTATGTCTTTTACATCACCTACATCTTCTTTACCATCTTCTACACCATCTTCTCTAGATCTACATCTACATCTACACCATCATCATCATCATCATCATCACCATCATCATCATCATCATCTACATCACTACATCCTCTACATCACCCACATCACCTACATCTTCTGCACCATCTTCCCTACATCATCATCATCATCACCATCACCACCACCACCATCATCATCATCAATCTCACCTACACCATCTACATCACCTACACAATCTTTTTCCATCAACCTCATCTACATGACATACATCATCTACAACGCATACATGACCTACATCATCATCTATATCACTGCATCCTCTACATCACCTACATCGTCAAACCTATCTAACCTTACATCACTTACAACATCATCTTCATCATCTACAACATAGACAACATCACCTACATCAGCTACAGGTGATCAACTTCTAGGGAACTCCTACAAAACTTGAAAAATGTCATGTACACAGGAGTTGACTTGCAGGTGATCCACTTCTACTTGAACTCCTAAAAGACCCCTGCGTGCAAGGTCATTTGCACAGAAATGGTTACACAGGAGTTGCTACACAGGAGTTCCGCTAACTTCCAGGTGATCAAATTGTATCTGACCTCCTGCAAAATCAGACTTCTCCAGTTCTTCTATTTCTCTCTGGCGGCGGGGACAGCCAGGCGGTGGCTTACGAAACGTTACCCTCTGCGGCGTGTCGGACACCCAAACGTGTGGCGGAATGCGGGTCTTGTTTGTCCTTGGGCAACCCTCTGCGGAGATCGTGCGTGTTGGATGGACAAACATGTGGTGTGGTGAAATGCGAAACTTCTTTGCCTGCAGCAACCGTCTTCGGAGATCGTGCGTTTCGAACGCCCAAGCATGTGGTGGAATGTGAATTTCTTTTGGGCACGGGCAACCCTCTGCAGAGATCGCGCAGGTCGGACATCCAAACATGTGGCAAAATGCAAATTTGGTGGGACCCGGCGCAGCCCCTTCGCACGAAATGAGGGTCAACCGTCGAAAACTGGTTTAAAATTGTGATTTTGAAAGTTTAGATGCAAGCCTGGCATGAAAGTCAAACGGCAATAACTGTGGGAAAACTGAGATTTTTTAACGTCAGATGCAAACGTTATTGCTGTAAAATTGCGACTTTATCCATTTTGAAACGTCAGGCACAACCGTTTCGCGCGAAATAAACCTTGTGTAAAATTGTGATTTTACAAGGTCAGGCGCAACCCGTTCACGCAAAATGATTGTCCAACGTCAAAATTTGCGATTTTCCAACGCCGGATGCAACCCTTTCGCACGATATGATGGCCGAACGTCAAAAACTTACGTAAAACTGCGATTTTTTCAAGTGTGTAAAAGCTGCTCTGTGGAAGCGTCTGTGTGTAAAGGCTTCTTTCTCTGTGTAAAAGCTTCTGTGCGTAAAAGCCTCCGTGTGTACAAGCTTCTGTGTGTAAAGGCGTCTGTGTGTAAAAGCTCCTGTGCTCAAAAGCTTCTCTGTGTAAAAGCTTCTGTGGAAAAGCTTGTGTGTGTGTAAAAGCTTCTGTGTGTAAAAGATTCTCTGTGTAAAGGCTTCTCTGTGTCAAAGCTTCTGTGATTCTCTGAAAAACAATCTGTGTCTAAAAGCTTCTGTGTGTATAGGCGTGTATATGTCAAAGCGTATCTGGGTAAATGCTTCTGTGTGGAAAGGCAGCTGTGTTCAAAAGCTTCTGTGTGTAGAAGCATCTGCCGCATCTGTGTGAAGAACTTTTGTGTAAATGCCTCTATGTGTAAAGACCTGTCTGTGTAAAAGCTTGGGCATTTGCGTGTTTAAAGTTTCTGTGCGCATAGGATTGTATAAGCTGCTCTGTGCAAAGGCCTCTCTCTCTCTCTGTGTAAAAGCTTTGGTGTGTAAAAGCTGCTCTGTGTAAACCCTGCTCTGTGAACAAGCTTCTATGCGTAAAAGCGTCTGTGTGTAAAAGCTCTGTGTGTAAAGGCGTGTGTGTAAAGCTTTTGTGTGCGTAAAGCTTTTGTGTGTGTGTAGATGCTTCTGTGTAAAAAAAATGCTGTGTAGAGGTTTCTCTGTGTAAAAGCTTGTCTGTGTAAAGCTTATGTGTAAAAACTTCTGTGCGTAAAAGTCTGGGGGCGTCTGTGTGCAAAAGCTGCTCTGTGCATCTCTGTGTTAAAAGTGTCTGTGTGTAAAAGCTGCTTTGTGTAAAGGCCTCTCTGCGTCAAACCTTCGGTCCGTGAACAAGCTTCTATGCGTAAAAGCGTCTGTGTGTAAAAGCTCTGTGTGTATGTAAAGCTTTTGGTGCGTGTAAGTGCTTCTGTTTATAAAAGATGCTCTGTTTAGACACTTCTCTGCGTAAAAGCTTCTCTGTGTAAAGCTTCCGTGTGAAAACCTCTGTGCGTAAAAGCTTCTCTGTGTAAAGGCCTCTCTGCGTCAAAGCTTCGGTGTGTAAAAGCTGCTCCGCCTAAACGCTGCTCTGTGAAAACAAACCTGAGTGTAAAAGCTGGTCCGCGCGAAGGCTTCTCTGTGTGAAAGCTGCTGTATGTAAAAACCGTTTGTGCTCAAAGTTCCTTCCCGCAAACGCTTCTCTGTGAAAAAGCTTCTCTTTGCAAAATCTTCTGTGTAAAAGCTTCTGTGTGTGTAAAAGCTTCTCTGTTTCAAGGCTTCTCTGAGTAAAAGCTTCTGTGTGTAAAAGCTTATGTTTGTAAAGGCATCTCTGCGCAAAAGCTTCTGTGTAAAAGCTTTCTTGTGAAGAGGCTGTAAGAGTTTCTGCGTCTAAGAGCTTCTTTTTGTAAGGCGTGGGTGTGTAAAAGCTCCTGTGTAAAAGCTTGGGCATCTGCACGTTAAAGTTCCTGTGTGTAAAAACTTCTTTGTGGAAAAGCGTCTGTGTGTAAAGCTGCCCTGTGTAAAGACTTCATGTGGTAAGGCTTCTTTAGAAAAGGCTTTTCTGTGTAAAAGCTTCTGTATGTAAAAGCGTCTGTGTGCAAAAGCGTCTGTGTAAAAGCTGCTCTGTGTAAATCCCTCTGTGTAAAGGCTTCTGTGTGTAAAATCTTCTCTGTGTAAAAACAACATGTCTTTTGATTCTGACTGTCGCTCAGGTGCCAGCCCTGGAGCAAACCCTCTGCGGGGGCAAAAAAGGCATGAAATCGTGGACATATGACATTTGACTTGGGTCAGCTATCATTCATCATCACCTCCATCGCCATTCATCCTCGTCATCGTCATCGCCATCATCATTGTCGTCATCATCATCACCATCATCATTTTTCTTGTGTATTATCTTCTCGTCTCCTCCCTCCTGCTTTCTTTCATGCCACGCTGTCGTCTAGAGTCTAGTGTTTTTATCCATGCGCGAGTGCCGTATCATTGTTTGAAGCAAAACTAGTTCTTCAATCTCTCCGTTCCGTTACTAGAACAATTCTTCAAACTTTGCAGCATTCTGTTGTTCAATGTTCTTGGAACCTTGCCTGGGCAACTGTTCTTCGACACGTTGCTTGACACTTGTTTATCGGAACCTTGCTTGGGAACTTGTTCTTGAGAGCCTATTCTTAGGAACCTGCTCTTGGGAGCATTGCCTGGTAGCCTGTTCTTGGGAACTCTCTCTTGGGAACCTGTTCTTGGAAACTTTGCCTGCTTGCTTCAAACCTGTTCGTTGGCACCTTGCTCGGGAACCTGTTTTTCGTAACTTTGCTTGGGAACCTTGTTTAGGAACCTGTCCTTCGGAACCTTGCTTGGGATTCTGTTCTTGCTTCCAACCTTGCTTGCAGATGTTCTTCGAAATTTCGCTTTGCAAGTTGTTCTTGGAAAGCTGTTCCTGGGAACATGAGCAACCTGAAACCATGCTTGGGAACGTGTTCGTGGAACCGTGCTGGCAACACATTGCTCGGAACCTTCCTAGAGAATTTGTTCTTGGAACCCGAACCTGTTCTTGGAACCTATTCTTCAAACCCTTGCTTGGGAACCTGTTCTTGCGAAGCTTGCTTGCAAACCTGTCCTTGGGAACCTTGCTTGGGGACCTGTTCGTGGAAACCTTGCTTGGGAACCTGTTCCCAAGGACCTTGCTTGTTACCTTGCTACCCTGCAAGGAAACCTGTTCTTGGAACCCTTGCTTGGGAACTTGAGTCTCTGTTCTTGGAACCCTTGCTTGTGAACCTGTTCTTGCGAACCTTGCTTGGGAACCTGGTCTTGCGAACCTTGCTTGGAAACCTGCTCCCAGGAACCTTGCCTGGAAACCCCTTGCTTGCGAAGCTATTCTTGGAAACCTTTTTTGCAACCTTTTCCTGGGAACCTGTTCCTGGGAGGGAACCTGTTCCTGGGAACCTTGCTTGGCAACTGTTTCTGGAACCCTTGCTTGGGAACCTTGCCTGGGAACCTGTTCTTGGGAACCCGGCTTGGGAATCGTTCCTGGCAACCTTGCTTGCGAACCTGATCCTGGGAAATTTGATTGGAAGTCTTGTTCTTGGGGTGGCTGAAGATTGGGGAAAAACGTTCCCAAGCAAGTTCCCAGGAAGAGGCTCCCAAGCAGGTATTCAGGAAGAGGTTCCCAAGCAAGGTAGCACGGTTCCCAAAAACGGTTCCCAAGCAAAGTCACAGGAACCGTTTCCAAGCACGGTTCCAAGCAGGAACAAGGCTCGCAGGAACAGGTTCCCAAGCAAGCGTTCCCAGGAAGAGCTGGTTCCAAAGCAAAATTTCCAGGAGCAACTGGGAACCCTTGCTTGCGAACCTCTTCCTGGGAACCTTGCTTCAGAACCTCTTCCTAGCAACCTTGCTTGAGAAGCTGTTCCTGGGAACCTTGCTTGGGAACCTTTTCCTGGAAACATTGCCTGGGAACTTTTTCCGGGAACCTTACTTGTGAACCTGTTCTTGGGAAACTTGTTTCGGAACCTGTTCCTGGGAACCTTGCTTGGGAATGTGCTTCGGAACCTTACTTGCGAACCTGTTCTTGGGAACCTTGTATGGGCACCTGTTCGTGGGAACCTGTGGCTGGGAACCTCGCTTGGGAACCTCTTCCTGAAAACATTGCTTGGGAACCAGCTTGCACTGGGAACCTTGCTTGGACACCTCTTCCTGGAAACCTCTTCCTGAAAACACTTGTTTGAAAACTTGTTCCGGGAGCCTCTTTTTGCTTGGATCTTGCTTGGGAAACTTGCTGGGAACCTTGCTTGGACGCCTCTTCCTGGAAACCTCTTTCTGGAAACACTTGCTTGAAAACCTGTTCTGGGAACCTTGTTTTGCTTTCCTGGAAATCTTGCTTGGGAAACGGTTCCTGGAAACCTTGAAAAAACGGTTCCTGAAATCCGTGCTTGCAAAACCTGTTCCTGGGAACCTTGCTTGGGAACCTGTTCCTGGAAACCTCTTCCTGGGAACCCTTGCTTGGGAACCTCTTCCTGAGAACCTTGCTTGGGAACCTCTTCCTGGGCCAAGAGGTTCCCAGGAACAGGTTCCCAAGCAAGGGTTCCCAGCAAGAGGTTCCGAAGCAAGGTTCCCAGGAACAAGTTTCCCAAGCAAGGTTCCCAAGCAAGGTTCCCAAGCAAGGTTCCCAAGCAAGGTTCCCAGGAAAACCTCAGGCAAGGTTACCAGGAACAGATTCCCAGGCAAGGGTTCCCAGCAAGAGGTTCCCAAGCCGGATTCCCCGGAAGAGGTTACCAAGAGGAAGGTTTTCAGGAAGAGGTTCCCAGGCAAGGTTCCCAAGAGGTTCCAAGCAAGGTTGCCAGGAACAGGTTCCCAAGCAAGGGTTCCCAGGCAAGGGTTCGCAAGGGTTGAACCTTACTTGGGAACCTTCCTGGGAACCTTGCTTGGAAACCTTGCTTGGGAAGCTCTTCCTGGGAACCCGGTTCCCAACCTTGCGCCGTGCAGATTTGGCTGCTCCGAGGGATTCTCTTGGAAAAGGAAACCCTTCCTGGGAACCCGGTTCCCAACCTTGCGCCGTGTGGATTTGGCTGCTCCGACCTGCTCCGGAACCTTTACTATGGCTGAAGACCCCAAGCTTATGCTGTTGGGGAAAAACTCAAAGATCAGATTCTTGATATCCCATTCTAATGCCATGACATCCAATATGGCTATAAATAAATGGGTGATGTTAACATTTTCACTATCCTCAAATAGTAGGTTTACTATTGGGTTTACCACATCATATAATGTTGCGACCCCATAGCCACGTATTTTCTTCGTCCGAGAAGCGTTCTTGTTCCTGGCAGTGCCGATTTGGTCGAAAAAGATATGTGCATTCCATGGTTTTCCATACACACTTATATTGCACATGATATTCAAGAATAAGTATTTCAGCAATTCTAAGCATGAGGTATGTGTATATATATATACACAGTATATAGTGTATATTGATGTCTACTATGGAGGTTTCCAATTGGGTCCCTAAATCATCCAAATTGGACTATTTTAGTGTAGAAACCTATGGTGACTTGGGGATCCCCCGTAGGAACCCTGCCTTCAGCTGTTTGGCCAAGCGCCGAGCGCAGGGAACAAAGTCCTGGAGCGGATTTCAAGTCATCCTTCAGATGGCGGGCTTCCAGTGGGGTACCCAATAAAGGTTTATTTCATGGAAAATCCATCTATAAATGCCCAAAATTGATGGTTTATAATGGAAAAATGATCTATAAATGGATGATAAATGGGGGTACCCCCATGACTTAGGAAACCCCCATAAGATCGGATACACTTGGAGTCAAATAGAAAATGGTCAGCAAGTCAACGTATTGGTGACGCAAGCAACAAACATGTCTGGCAATTTTGTGTTCTCTTTTTCTCCCTCGAATGAAAAACACTCCAATATACTCTCCTTCATTCGTTGAACATAGATATGGAAAACCCGCATATCACCACATCTATGCAATCTATGGATTTTCACGATCATTGGGTGAATTTAATTAAACATAGATATGGCTTTCACCATGGGTTTTTCTTTGTAGATATATTTCAACATGTTAGCCCACCCGAAAATCGCCATGTTGGGCGTCCTCATAGTCCACTTCGGACGGATCTATGGTCGCCAGAGTGACCAGCCATTCCTTCTCCACCTCGAAAAAACGAGTCTAATCTCAGTTGCAAGTCTACACCCAAATATCATCAAACATTATAATATTATATAAGATTTTATAAGATAATATAATGTGATATAAATTAATGTAATATAATATGATATAATATAATATGATATAATATAATAGCGTAATATACCATAACATAACATAAGATAACATAACATCGCATACTGTTACTTTATATTAAACAAAATTATATTATAGTATATCACATCATATTATATTATAGTTCTTGCAGCTATACTTCTTAGGGGTTGATGAAATCCTAGATGTGTTTCTCAAACATTCTCAAACCATCTGGGTTTGTCTGAAAATAGGGTACTGTCAAAACTGAGTAGTTTATCATCATTTTCCCCATGAAAATTGCCATAAAATGGGCCAACCTTCACTCCAATGCTTCGCTGATCTGAGACTCAAGCGAGTCCAATCAGGCCAACCTGACAGGTAGCTGGTTCCTTTACCCTGGCATACCCATGTTTTTTTACATTTTTGTCGGGGAAAAAGATTGCAGAGAAACAAAATAATCTATGGATGCGACTGGATGATTTTTCATGTTCAAGCCAAATGACTGGAGTGCATTCAGGATTCCCAGTGTGCCCCTGCCGGTGGCCCAAGTTGGGTTGCCTTCCTGCCATGAAAATCCATCATCCGGGTGACGATGCCATTGGCCAATGGTCGCCCAGTTTTCTGGCGCGAAGCACCAGGGCGCATCGGCGAATCTGATACAACAGGTTGGTGAACCTGCCTGGAAAAAATATTTATCAATTGACAAAATGACATCACCATCATCATCATCATCATCATCATCATCATCATGATCACCAGCGATCGGATGGGAAATGGAAAATGTTTGAAAATGTTCTATATAAATCTTCTAAAACTAATTTGTTCAGCCACCACGTAAAGATACTACGGTACTTGGTGTGTCAGAAATGTCTGATTGGTGCTCATGGGTGCTCATGGGGTGCTCATTTCCCGGCTTTTTTTTTGGCTTTGATCATCTTTAAATCCTCTTCCTGCAGCATCAACGGAAACTGAAGAAATGCCGTTGTTCTGCGGTTTCAAACGGCCCGTTTGAAGGCCACCACCAAGCCGCCTTGTCAGTCACATTGCTGATGAGCCATGGGAAATTGTTTTGCGCTGCTAACCTCAGGACGTGGGATCCGGCTGGCGATTTGTGCAGATTTGTCACGGACGTTTGAAACCACAATGATTGGTTGTGTGTCCCTATTGCCGCTAGGCCTTCCAGCAACAGCCATGCACCTCTACTGAAGAGTGGATGCACAAGTTTCTGGTGAGGTTCTGGATGCAGTTCGCAACTCAGGTCCGCAATCGCAGGCCACGCTGCTTATCAGGGCACCAGAAATAGAAATCTTCTTCTTGGCGAGTTTGTTCAGTAATTAGTCCATCTGCAATCTACCCTTCAACATCTTTCAAGTTGTTTGAAAAAACAACAACGTGAAATGATACAGCCCTACATCTCCCTGCAAGTCGCTCACTTTTTCATGTCTTTCACATCTTTCACGGCCGTTGCCGTGTGAGCTTCTCGGCGAGACCAGCTCCAAAGATGCCACTCTATGGCCAGGCAAGCCGAGGTGGGCCGACGTTGGGGTCTTTCGGGATTCAATGCGGGTTCAGCTGCATAGCATTGCATAGTTGCATGACATTGGGTTCAAATCTCACATGTAGAGCATGTGGATAGCTCGACCAGAGATTCAAAATGATGCTGGGTTCAGGGAAATCCCAAGGCTGGTGAATTTTGGAGTGTAAAGTGTAAAGTGTGGAGCGTGGAGTGCGAAGTGCGGAGTGTGAAGCCAGATCCTTGTTGCTGACTGGTCTAAATTTTGCAAATGTGCAGAGATTAACGTCGACTCAATAACAAACTCACGTTGAATTCAATGTGTTTGCCAAAGTGGCAATCCAGCTGGGTCTCGAGCATTTTTACGTGTTGACGTTTGGTTACGGCGACACAAGCAACACCGACTAGATATCTTTAGACCTTTAGCCAACAAGTGTGTAACAAGTGCCACACACATCCTTGACAGCCTTGAGCTTCAAAGTCCAGGTGTTTTGTGAATTGTCAAAGTATATCAAAGTATCATAAGTGGTGTTTGCAAAAATGCTCCTAGCACGAAAAGCCTGCAGCCTGCAGCCAGTGGCAGTGAGGCAGTGAAGTATCTTATCTCGCTCCACAAGCAAATTTGGGGACAGCCAGCCACATGTTAAACTGCCAGCACTGAATTCGACAGGTGGTTGACAATGTTCGATGGAAGATTTCACACATGCACATGCCGAAGTAGAATTAGCCCATTGTTTCCAAGATGCACTGACAGTTTCGCCTACACAACGGTTGCTACACAAAATAATTGCTATCCAATGAAACCTCACGGAGACAGAAACACTTCCCCACCTCCTTGAAATTGCTGCAGGGGCAGCGGCTTTGCTCGTGGGAAGAAACACATTTGGAGATCACGTTTCCGTGATCGCCATGGCTTCTTCTTGCACGTCGAGCTGTCACCGTCACATGCAAATCAACTTGACAAAGTCTGCCCAGGCATCGATCAAAGCTTAGTGTTTAATGACATCGTGTGTTTTTTTCTTGGTGATTTTGTGTAGGGCGCACGGCTGCAATTTGGGGTAAAACGATGAAACCGCTGCCGGGAAGTGATTTGTGCTGCAAACATTCTCAGCTCTCCTTCACCGTTTCAACGGTGCAGTTGATCGTTGTGATTAATGTGTCTTCTCAAATTGTCAATTTTTCAGAAGTTTCAAGGTATAAACTTCAGCATTCTCTTGTGAGAGACTTTTTCCAAACCGTTCAAATTCTTAAATCCTGCATCCAGTACCAGCGTGCGCTGCATAAGCAAAAAAAAATGTCATGCATAATAAGACTATGGTTATGTCCATGCAACAGGCTCAAGAACAAAATGTCCTCCGTGCTCTTTGAGATGCCTGGCTGAACGATTTCTGTCTCAGTTTCACTGATAGGGGTAAGAACATTCAGCGAAGCAAAGGCTGCAAAGCCTTCAACATCACCATATTTAGAATATTTTTTCAAGCTGCGTGGACTGTGCCGACACCGAAGCAATACGGTGGGGTGCTGTGCCACAAGCCAGGCAACCTAAAGTGAAACTCCAGAAGTGGCAGGATTTCAAGTAAACACTCCATGTCATATTCCAACAAATCGCCACAAATTTCTGGGGTTTACAACCTGAAGTGCTCCAGCAGTTACAGTGATCTCTTCAACTTAAAAGAAAAAAACATCATAAACCATAGATGAACCGAGTCAACCTGTTGGTTCATCAAAACATTGCTGTAGTTTCATGCGTCACACAAATTGTTGAACTGCGGGAATGCTGGGCGAAGCCGACGATTCTGCTTGCGACAGGCCCCCAGGACTTTATGTGGTCGCAAACCCTGCAAGAACATCTGTATTCATGTATGCGTGTGTGTGTGTGTGGATGTATGGATGCATGTACGTGACAGGGAGGTAGGTAGGTAGGTAGGTAGGGAGGGAGCAGGGAGGTAGGGAAATATGGAGGTAGGGAGGTAGTGAGGTACGGAGGTAGAGTAAAATCTAGAGACCCTCACATGGCAGGTGGGGGATAAGTCAGCAAAAATATGTAAAGATGTCAAAGCCTGTCATACACCACTTGACGCACTCTGAAAAGTCCTGTGGGTGCCCAACAGCCTATCGTGAGTGCACGATATAAATATATATATATATACAAGATTACGACAAGTTCATCACTTTGTACTTGCGGCTGCACCATTGGCGCAAGCCAAAATTTTGGACGCAGCAATCGCGTGATCGCATGCGCGACTGGACTGCGATATCAGATGAGTCGACTCCATTGTTGATCAAGGTGCTTCCCAGATTCTCTCCATTCGTGCCTACACATGTTCTACGAAGTCCCTTGCTCGATCAATGAAAACACATTTACATACCCCCCATGCCTGAGAGCCCAATATGAACAGCTCATACTTGTTCCAATACTAACCATGAGAGGCTATTTCATGGCGTTTCATATTAGGAGGCGGGGTATGTTCAAAGATTTGGTGATTTATAGAAATCCCATGGTGCGGACGGCCTGAATAGCTGCAGAGACGGGATAGTTTTTTAGTAGGGGTAGCTGTGTCTCAAGAAAGGTAACCTTTAGAGAAGGGTGTGGCAAAGAGAAGAGCCCAAGTGCCTTGAACACTCTGTGCTTGTTTTCTACAAGCAATCAGTCCAACTCCACTAATCCTTTGCCGCTTCATTCTTGCAAAAAGAACCAATCATGGTGTGATATTGCCACTGGACATGGAGTCGAGCTCAATTGGAGTGCTGTAAAGACTTAAATCCGATTCAAATTCCAAGCCACTCACAGGTGTTCATAGTTCAGTCCCAAAACATATCCAAACACGTTTGCAAATGCTGGGGCCTTGAAGGTGGCATTCCAGGTCTTGAAACCAGTCACTGCCTTTGGACTGTTGCACATCCACTGAGATTACTCCAGGATGAGTTGCTTCATCACGCTCATCGAATTTTGCAGATTTCAGGTGGTTTTGTCGGACACTTTACGGTACCCAACTGGTTGAAAACCTCATGTTCCAGAAGTTTACCACATATTTAAACAGTTTCATGATTATATTACTCGGGACTAGTATTTAAACCCTATTAATATCCAATGATTCCCCATGTTATCCCGATTGCTGTTTGTCTTATGCCCCCATTTTGGTCTCGACCCTTTTGGGCATCCCTTTAAATTCTGTGGCGTGGCTTGTATCGGGTACATCGGTGCGAGGCTCGCATGCCAGTCATGAAATATTCGCCCTGGCAGTGAAGGATTGTGGTGACCAAAATTGGTATATCATTGTGCGTATATGTATGTATAATATATATATATATATATGTATGTATATTTATATATGATATGCATTTATGTTCATATTTTTCCCATATCCCACAACTTCGAAACAACAGCCACTATGTAGGAACAGCAGTTTGACTGTGGGGTTGGCTAAGCAAAAGGCATGGCAAAAATTACGCCACTGTAGGCCCCAAACAGTGGGTGGAAAAGTGCTTTGAGGAACAGGTCAAACACATGAAATAGCAGCTGCAAGAATCGTGATAATGTCTGCAAGAAGTGCCAACCGCTTCACGTTTATTGTTTTTCGGTTTCCATAGCTTTGTCGCAACACTGGGTATCGAGAAACAAAGGGAAACAAGAAGGAAAACAAGCTGGGAGACAAGGGAGACAAGGTTTCGGGAAGGTGGACACACCATCCAACCAAGGGAAACAAGAAGAACAAGAAGGAAGACGAGCTGGGAGACAAGCTGGACGACAAGATGGGAAACAAGCTGGGAGACAAGCTGGAAGACAAGCTGGGAGACAAGCTGCGAGACAAGCTCGGAGACAAGCTGGGAGACAAGTTGGAAGGCAAGCTGGAAGACAAGCTGGAAGACAAGCTGGGAGACAACCGGGAGACAAGCTGGGAGACAAGGCTTCAGGAAGACAGACACGCCATCCAACAAAGGGAAACAAGAATGAAGACAAACTGGGAGACAAGCTGGGAGACAAGAGGGGGGACAAGCTGGGAGACAAGATGGGAGACAAGCTGGGAGACAACGGTGAAAAAGCCTCCTGAAGGCGGGCACACCATCCAACAAAGGGAAACAAGAAGGGAGACAAGCTGGGAGACAAGCCAGACAAGGCCTTGGGAGGAAGACCTGGGAGACAAGCTGGGAGACAAGGCCTCGAGAAGGCGGACACACCATCCAACAAAGGGAAACAAAAAGGGAGAGACAGGGAGACAAGACCTCGGGTGACACCATCAAACAAAGGGAAACAAGAAGGGGCACAATGGGAGACAAAGGGAGGCAAGACCCTCGGAGAGAAGCTGGGAGACAAGGAGAGACAAAGCCTCGGGAAGGCGGACACACCATCCAACAAAGGGATGAGGGAGAAAAGCTGGGAGACAAGCTGGGAGGCCAGCTGGAAGACAAGCTGGGAGACAAGCTGGGAAGGCCGACACATTATCCAACAAAGAGAAGCAAATAAGAAGGGAGACAAGGGGAGACCAAACCCCGGGAAGGTGGACGCACCATCCAACACATGGAAACAAGAAGGGAGACAAGGGGAGACAAGGCCTGGGGAAGGCGGGCGCGCCATCCAACAAAGGGAAACAAGAAGGGAGACAAGGGGAGACAAGAATGTCGGGAAGGCGGACACACCATCCAACAAAGGGAAACAATGAGGGAGAAAATCTGGAAGACAAGCTGGGAGACAAGCTGGGAAGGCGCACACACTATCCAACAAAGAGAAACAAGCCGGGAGACCATGGGAGAAAAGGGGAAACACAACACATGGAAACAAGAAGGGAGACAAGGGGAGACAAGGCCTGGGGAAGGCGGACGCATCCAACAAAGGGAAACAATGAGGGAGACAATGGGAGACAAGGGGAGACAAGAATGTCTGGAAGGCGGACACACCATCCAACAAATGGAAACAAGAAGGGAGACGAGGGGAGACCGGACCCTCGGGAAGGCGGACACAGGATCCAACAAAGGGAAACAAAAAGGGGTACAATGGGAGACAAAGGGAGACAAGACCCTGAGGAAGGCGGACACACCATTCAACAAAGGGAAACAAGAACGGGTACTCAAAAGTGAGCAGAACGTGAGGGTGTTGTAGCATTTGCAAAAAACGATGGCAGGCGTGGGACATTTGAAGAGGATCTGCAAAGATGCATTTTCCGTGCAGGCGCAGTACAAGAGACATGTTCATCAGAGCTGGGAGGAGATGATTTCCTGAGAGGGGTTGCATTTTGGAGCATCGGATCTTCAGTTTTGGGAAAATGATTTTGCGTGACGGGTGCAGCACTTCGTATGATCTGGCATC